AATGTTGGTAAGAATATGAAGCACCTAGAGCTCTCATACTTCATTGGTGAGCATTAAATGATACAACCACCCTGGAGAAAGGTCAAATTTTTTATATATTAAACATACACCCACAACTACCTTATTACCCAGCAACTATACTCTTAAATGGTTACCCAAGAGGAATGAAGACATATATCCACAAAAGGCATGTAAAAAAAAAAAAAAAAAAAGGTATTTCTAGCAGCTTTTTCATAATGGCCCCCAAACTAGAAGTAATCTATGTGCTCAACAACAGAAGAGAATGTGGTTTGTACACTAGAATTTAATGCAACAGTAACAAGGAAGACAAGATTAGCAATGAGCACACCCGGCATTCAGATTTTGGTTTCTAAATGCCACTTCCACTAAAAGGAACAAGGGTCTTTGGAGAAGTGGATTCCCAGGACTGGGGCTGGAAAAGAATAATCTGAGAGCATCCTGTTATGACAGAAAGTAAAGATGTGCTTAAAGAACAATGGGAATCAATCAACAGAACACAAGAAGCATCTTGAAACAGTTCGTACAGGACACATCCGAGACAATCATGAGCACAAAATAACAGTAAGACTGGATTCTGAGTCATTGAATACCCGAGTTTACAGTGATATAAATAAATAGGTAGGGAAGAAGGAAAAGTTTTTTTTTTTTAATGTTTTATTTATTTCTAGAGGAGAGAGGAGACAGCGTGAGCAAGGAAGGGCCAGAGAGAGAGGGAGACACAGCCTCCAAACAGGCTCCAGGCTCTGAGCTGGCAGTCGGCACACAGCCCGACGCGGGGCTTGAACCCATGAACCGCGAGATTATGACCTAAGCGAAAGTCGGACGCTTAACCGACTAAGCCACCCAGGTGCCCCGGGAAAGTTTTTTTTTTAACTTAAGATACCAACTAGTAAATACAGAATCAAAAACGGAGTTAGAAAATAATCAGTGAAGACTAACAGAGAAGGTAGAAACTCAGGAGGAATGACATAAATAGCAACTTTATGGTGGACGAACTTGGTGATACATCATCCTCTTCAGGGTAATTCCAACAAAAAACACAACCTGAATCTAATAATAAGTATCAGGAAAAACAATTTTTTTGTGTATACACACACACACACGGTGAATGACAAAGCAAATGTGGCAAAATGTAAGCAAGTGGGGAATCTTGGTAAAGGGTATACAGGAATTCCTTGTATTATTCTTGCCACTTTTCTGTAGGTTTGACATATCAAAACCAAAAGGCTACCAAAGCAGACACATATGTACATACATTACTACAGTTATTCTCCTTTTAGCATAAGGAAACAGCAGCTCAGGGGCATTAAGAGACTTGCTCAGTCACAAAACCACTATGAGCCAGGACTAGAACTTGCACACAGGTCTTCTAACCAGAGACTGTTCCTATGTCATTGACTGCTCCCCTCAGATATTAATCAATCAACAAATGCTCTCCATAATCCTTAGCATGGGCCACAGGGCCATACCACCTCCCCATTCCCTTAGTCTACCTCTGCCATGACTCTCCCAACTCCCCACTACAGGTCAAATACGCAAAGCAAGATCTCTCCTCAGGGTCTCTGCACTCTCAACTTCCTGCCTCGGGTGTTCTTCTCCCGGAGATGAGCAGAGCTCACTCACTCCCTTTACAACTTTTGTGAATGCCTTGGAAAGCCCCCTGGCACTTACCTTTAATAAAGCAGCATCCTCCCTCCCATCTCGATTCCCCTTACCTTGCTCAATTACTCTCTCCCACTGACCACACTCTGACTTGTTACATATTTACCTGTCTTCCTGACAGACTATACACTCCACAAGGATGGAGACTTTGTCTACTTTTTGTCCATTTCTATATATCTGCAGCTCTTATAACAGTTCTAATAGTTCTTCTAACACTTGGCACGTATGTGCTATGCTTGAAAAATAATGTATTGAGTGACGAGATAAATGAACAAATGCATGGGATTCCAAATAAACGTGCAACTGAATTTTTCTGGAAATCGATTCTTCCTATATGGAAGAATATAGGTGCAAAAATAGCTAGGACAACTATAAAAATGAAACAAGAAAAATGGCACAAAAATAGCCACATAGAGCAAAATGAAAGAACAGAGTCCAGAAATCAACCCATACATATGGTCAATTAATCTACGACAAAAGAGACAAGAACACGCAATGGGGAAAAGATGATCTCTTCACCAAACAGCGAGGGAAAACGGCACAGCCACGTGCTAAGGAATGAAAATTGGACCAGTTTCTTATGCCATACACAAAACTAAACCCCAAATGGACTGAGGACCTCAAAATGAGACCTGAAGCCATAAAACTCCTAGAAGAAAATATAGGCAGTAGTTTCTTTGACATAAGCCATAGAAACATTTTTCTACACATGTTTCCTCAGGCAAGAGAAACAAAAGCAAAATATAGTACTTTGCTGGACTATAGCAAAATAAAAGGTTTTTTTGCAAAGCAAAGAAACCACCAAAAAAACAAGGCAACCTACCAAGTGAGAGAAGATATCTGCAAATGATAATCTGATCAGGGGTTAATATATAAAGAATATATATATAAGAATATATTATATACATTATTAAACATGTAAAGAATACATACAAAATATATTAAGAATATACAAAATATATGGACTATAATATATATTATTAAATATATAAAGAATATATACCAAATATATTAAGAATATACAAAATATATAAAGAATATATATTTATATACAAAATATATAAAAAATATATACAACCCAGCATTTAGATAATAAATAATCTAATTAAGAATTGGGCAGAAAATCTGAAGAGACATTTTTTTTTTAAATTTTTTTAAATGTTTTATTTATTTCTGAGACAGAGAGAGAGACAGTGTGAGCAGGGGAGGGTCAGAGAGAGAGGGAGACACAGAATCTGAAACAGGCTCCATGCTCTGAGCTAGCTGTCAGCACAGAGCCCGACATGGGGCTCGAACCCACTAACTGAGATCATGACCTGAGCCGAAGTCGGACGCTTAACTGACTGAGCCACCCAGGTGCCCTCGAAGAGACATTTTTCTAAGAAGACATACAAATGGCCAACAGATACATGAAAAGATGTCCAACATCACTCATCATCAGGTAAATACACAATCAAAATCACACTGAGATACACCCTCACACCTGTCAGAATGGCTAAAATAAAAAACACAAGTAACAAGTGTTGGCAAGGATGTGGAGAAAAAGGAACCATTATTCACTGCTCATGGGAACGCAAACTGGGTACAGCCACTGTGGAAGACAGTATGGAAGTTTCTCAGAAAATTAAAAATATAATTACCATATGACCCAGTAATCCCACTACTGGGTATTTACTCAAAGAATATGAAAACACTTATTCAAAAAGATACCTGCACCCATATGTTCACTGCAGCATTATTTACAATAGCCAAGACATGGAAGCAACCCAAGTGTCCATCAATAGATGAAAGGATAAAGATGTGGTATATATATGCAATGGAATATTATTCAGCCATAAAAAAGAGATCTGCCCATTTGCAACAACATGGATGGAACTTATGCTAAGTGAAATAAGTCAGAGAAAGACAAATACCATATGATTTCACTCACGTAACAATTAAGAAGCAAAACAAGTGAACAAAGGGAAAAAGAGACAAAGAAACCAATTCTTAAATCCAGAGAGTGAACTCGTGGTTACCAGAGAGGCTGGGAGGTGGGGTGGGGAGTGGAAGAGAAGTGAAACAGGTAAAAGGAATTAAGGGCACACTTATCATGATGAGCACTGAGTAATGTACAGCATTGTTGAATCACTATATGGTACACCTGAAATGAATAAAACACTGTATTATACTTCAACTAAAAAAAAAAAAAAGAAATGAAACAAGGAGTTGCCCTACGAGAGATCCAGGTGCAAAGCCACAGTAACTAACTATGAGACTGTTATGGGAATACATACCTCACTAAGAACAAAGTCCACAGATAGACTCCAGCAAATATGGGCCCATGGAGGGATGAGAAGAGGTGGATCACAAACCATTTGGGAAGGAGAGACTTGTAATGATGATTCCGGGTAACTTTTTCACCACCCGGGAAAAAATACAAAACTGAATTCTTACCTTATTCTATACAAAAATAATGTCCAGATAATCTAAAGATTTGGCATTCAAAAGTCATCCAAAGCTATAAGAAAGCAGGAGGCCACTACATAACCTCCTGATAGGAAAAGCTTCTTAAAGACAAACCATAACAAAACAGGATACAGCAATCTGACTTAACAGAAAAACAGGGACATGAAATGCTTGATAAACATATGTAAAAGGCAAGTAAGTTGGAAGATGTTTACAATGTTACCTCTGCAGCTCACTAAGAAAAAGCCAACAACAACAAAAAACAAACAAAAAAAACAGGCAAAGAACATATACCAGTGATTCACTAGTGAGGGTATCCTGTAATTATACATGAGAGGGGCGCCAGGGTGGTTCAATCAGTTGAGCATCTGACTTCAGCTCAGGTCATGATCTCATGATTCGTGGGTTCGAGCCCCACATCGGGCTCTGTGCTGACAGCTAGCTCAAAGCCTGGAGCCTGTTTCGGATTCTGTGTCTCCCTCTCTCTCTGACCTTTCCTCACTTGTGCTCTATCTCTCTTGCTCTCAAAAATAAATAAAACATTAAAAAATACATGGAGAAAAAAACCCAACCAGACTCATTAGCAATCACACAAAAGCTCATGAAAATAGCGACATTATACTCTTCACACATCAAAGTTACAGGATTTCGTTAGACGGTATCACATGCTAACAGAAATGTGGAAAATAGGAACTTTCAAGTACTGCCAGTAAGACTGGAAACCAGGACAGCCATTTTGAAAACCCACTGGACTCCTGTCAAATTGGAGACGCACCATTTTTTATGAAACACTACAGAGAGAGACGCAGAAGGCTGTTGCTAGAAGGACATACTGATGACACCCAAATGTCCACTCACAGGAGACAAAATGAGCATGTGCCACATTTATTTAATAGAATACAGTGATAATAAGTGGATCCATACATACATAGAAACCCATGATATAATAAGTGAAAATACAGAATACAGACTGGTGATATTTATGTACATGTTAAAAACGAACTCTGCAGCAATACCACCTCCCTACAATCATAGGTAAAAACATAAAGGATGGATGCAGATACAGTCGCACTGTGGTGCTGGCTTCTGCAAGGTGCAAGGGGGCACAGCCCTGAGGGACCTGGTTAAAGAAGCTCACTTACATCTCAGTGTGTTGCTTCCTTAAAAAAAAAAAAGAAAAGAAAAACGGAAGAAGGGGGCAGTTATTATTTCTGGATGGTGAGAATGTGGACATTTATTATTGTTCGTCCTTTTCAAGTTTTCCCTTGTGGAGCGCTCCCCCTAGTGCTCATCCACATGCTCTCTGCAGGGAAGGCGCAGGGATGGGCGTGCTGAGAACACTAACACCAAACTTGATGAGCGACTTAAATGCTGTCCAAAGTAAATTTTGACCATATGTGATTTTAGCCTTAACTGGCAAACTTTAGTATTAATACTCTCGTACGTTGAGACTCACAGCATTCGTCAGCATGGTAAGTTAAAAGCAAACTACCTGTAAAAGACTTTAATTTAGGGAAGGACTTTTGAGGGGCCAATCTTATGTACAAAATTCTGTTAACCAAAATCCCTCTTCTCCAAGTGCCATCTGGTGGAAAAAAGAGGCAACTGTACCTTCCACAAAAACAATTATCAGAGCAAGAGCAACATTGTTTCCAAGGAAGAGTCTTTTCCTTCTGAGGTTACTGTGTACTACACTAGTAACCATGAACTCTTTTTAAAGCCTTCCTCAAACTACATTCTTCAGCCTATATAAGTTGGATGAGAAAGAGCTGTTCTTTTATCTTCTTTTGCTCAGAGATTCCTTCTTTAATGTGTCTTAGTCAATATGATGCTTTAAATTCTTCCTCATCAGACCAATCTGCAATCATAATCTGTATTCATCCACATTTCAAACCCTCCAAGAGTTAAAAATTCCAACAGTTGATTTCTAGATTAAAAATTTTAGTGTCATTTTGCTTTATATAAACTGAGGATGGTTAAGAATTTTTAATTTAGAGACTTTTAAAATACAGTGTGTTCTCACTATAAATATGCAGTGAGAATTATAAATAGTTCCTTCTTTCAAGCACTGAACGAGATAGTAGAAAACATACAGTATCTTACCAAGAGCCAATAAAACAGGCTAGATTTTTCAGATATTAAAAAAAATCAACATAAAATGGGGGAAAAAAAACCCATAGTCACAAGGTCATTAATACCTCAATTTGCAATACTGAATTCCTTGATCCATTTACAATCCAGAGATGTAACTGAACAGGGTGGTAAAATCACTTTGGAAAATGCCAACTGTACACAAGACAAAATAAGTCAGTCCTAAATGGTTTCCATTAGTGTTCTCTGTGGCCATGATTCCAGTCAAGCTTTATAACCTGCTGTACAAATCAGCACTAGCAGAGGATGGAAATAAAGCCAAAGGCACTCCCTCAGAGGTTCAAAACTGCTAGATTTTGATGTAGATTTAAACTTAGCAAGTTTCAGTCATTCCATTTAGATGATCCTGTAGGTACATGCAAACACACTGAACTGCTGGCTTCATTTCTTGTCCCTTCTCAAAGTTTATGATAAAGAGACTAATCCCTGTGTTGGGACTGACTGACATAAATTCAGATTTGTTCAGAGTTGTGGGTAAGGAACACTTAAGGTCAGTCAGAAAATAATTAAACAGGCTTTTCATGTAAGCGCCATGACTCACAACTAAGACGCTGGCGACTAATCCTGGAGCTCTGATGTCTGAATTAGATTCAGAGGGACAGGTTTTTCCTAAGGGAAATATCTCTGCCAGAGAAGTTTCCAGACAGCTGCTTGGAGCTCCTTGGGAAAACTGTTCATTTTCACCTGCTTCTTGCAGAATCAGTTGACAAAGAATATCAAAAAAGTCTTTTCCACGCATTTTCACCTACAAGAAAAGAAATACAAGTTAAATAAAGCACCACTAATGATAGTCTTAAAATATATACCTAAAACATAACTGATTGGATTTTCTAATATATCAATATAAGTGCAACATAAGCAGAGGAAATTCTGTTTCTATTCATTCAATCAGTAGACAATGCCCAGGTATTTCTGGAACTATGGAAGCACATCGAGGGACAAAAATGAATGAGATACCATTTCTACTTCTTTCCTTCAGAGCACTTACAGTCTAGTTGAGGAAATTTACAAGTAACAAGAAGCCCATGTAACACTGTTAAATAGGAAAAGACACCAAGAGCACATCGACGTGACAAGGACAGAAGATCTTGCCGTTACTAAACAGAAACTCTTTATGAGAAAATTATGAAAATAAAAAATAGGAATTTTAAAAGCAGAACACTTTAAGGAAATTCAAGCACAGTGATGATGTCACTTACAGAGCTAAAGTCGCAGGAGAGGCTTGAAGACTTTGAGACTTGACTTATTTTGCCTCAAGTGTCTTGCCTGCTGCTCTCCTTGAACAGCACCGCACTCACCTACCCTGTTGCCTGCTGGTGCCACCGCTTCATATTCAAAGAGTTTTCTTCAAGTATCATCTTAACACACATCCTTTTAAATCCATTACTGGCAATATCTGCCAACTTAACAGTAAATAAAAAGACAGCTTAAAAAGGAAAAACAAACACACCATGTAGAATTGGTTTACGAACCAAACAACTTTCAAACTGCTTCAATGAGATTTAGGGACCTCTCACTGATAAACCAAACTCGGTGTTAGGGACTCTGACGAGGCAAGTTCATCCACAGCCACGTGGCAGCATGCCCCAGGGCTACGTACCTGGTCTAATGTCTCTCCTCCGGGTGGCGTGAACACAGGGCATTCTTCCCCAGCTGCTTTGGCCATTGCCCTTAGCTCACTTAGTGCCCTGCCTTCTGCAACCCCGTATTTCTGCAATGATCCAATAGACAAAAGTGCCTCAAATCAATTTGCAATACAACAATTAAATACACGCTTATGACAAACTCAGAACAATCATTCTGGCAAGAAGCTTGGCTTCCTTCCACTTACTTTATTCTATCCTTTAAACCAATAATGAGAACATACTTAGTAGAGGGCTGTGAACACTAGGAAACACAGCGCATACCTTGAATTAGACACTGTGTCCAGATGCGTTATATGGAACAACACACTCAAGCAGACAGTGTGGGTTTATTGGACAAACAGGGAGATCTGCACAGATCCCAGGGCCAGAGATGAACATGTGCGGCGACCAAGTCGGCCACCTCACAATAACACACACTGAGATGGGCATTTTCACCACCATATTTATGAATGAAAGAGCAGAATTTCAGAGAGGTTAAGCAACTAGCCTATATTCCCATATCTAATAATCAGCAAAGTTGAAACTCAAAGCCACATCTGTGTGATTTCAAAGCTCATTAACTTTTTAGATTCGTAAAGAATGAGCCACAGCAAAGGACACAGAAGTCACAAAAAGACATACAAACGGCCAAGAAACTCCTCAGGAATCTATAATGTGGAAATTAAAACGGTACCTTTCAGAAGCTACTAAATTGGAAACCCAAAGAGACTACCCATAGCTACTGTTTATGTGAGAAAAATTCTCCTACATCATTCATCGAAGTACAAACTGGCACAACTTTTCTGGAAGGAAATTCTGCAATATGTATAATAGGCTTTTTAAAAAGTACACCCTTGTGGGTTCGAGCCCTGCATCAGGCTCTGTGCTGACAGCTCAGAGCCGGGAGTCTGCTTCAGATTCTGTGTCTCCCTCTCTCTCTGACCGTCCCCTGCTCGCTCGCTCGCTCTCTCTCAGAAGTAAATACAACATTAAAAAAAAAATTTTTTTTTAAAGTACATTCTCAACAATTTCATTTCTAGGAAATGTATTAGGCATGTATATAAAGAATCAACCACAAAAAAATGCTTATTTTAATATTATTTACAGGAGTGTAAAATCTAGTCACAACCTAGGCATCCACCAGTAGTAATAGCTATACAATATCCACTTATTGGAATAATATAGTCACTAATTAGGTGATCATATTCATGTGCATTTTGGGGCACTGATAACATAGGGAGAAAATCTGGTTAAAAAACAACACATAGAGAAGGGATACATTTAGAAAAGTACACACACAATCAGATAGACAAACAGACAGACTAACATGAAAAAAGCCAAGAGCACACATACCAAAATATTCACCATACTTGTGCATGGCAGAAATTTTAACCATATTTTTGCCCAAACTATTCCTAATTTTAATTGGCTGCAATGATAACTGATTTACATACAGAATAGAGATAAATCATTATTTATGGTTTATACTGATGATGCCCCCAAATCCTACCACTACCATCAGACAGAAATCCAACAATTAAATGTTATTTTATAGGAGCACTTGCACATTTGTCAGGTGCTCTTCCAATTCTTAAGTTCAAATTCTTTAAGTTCATGTTTTTCTTTCTTTTTCTTTTTTTACAAATAGTTTATTGTCGAGTTGGTTTCCATATAACACCCAGTGCTCATCCCCACAAGTGCCCTCCTCCGTGCCCATGCTCCCCATCCAACCCCACATCCATCAGTCCTCAGTTTTTGTCCACATTCAAGAGTGTCTCATGGTTTGCCTCTCTCCCTTTCCCCCACCATTTCCCCCCTTCTTCTCCCCCTTGTTCCTCAGTTAAGTTCCTCCTAATCCTCCTATATGTGCAAACATATGATATTCGTCCTCTGCCTGACTTATTTTGCTCAGCATAACACCCTCAAGGTCCATCCATGTTGCTACACAAGGCCAGATGTCATTCTTTCTCATTGCCATGTAGTATTCCATCGTATAGATAAACCACATCTTCTTGATCCATTCGTCCGTTGATGGACACTTAGGCTCTTTCCATGTTTTGGCTATTGTTGAGAGTGCTGCTATGAACATTGGGGTACCTGTGCTCCTATGCATCAGCATTTCTATATTCCTTGGGTAAATTCCTAGCAGTGCTATTGCTGGGTCATAGGGGAGTTCTATTGTTCATTTTTGGAGGAACCTCCACACTGTTTTCCAGAGGGGCTGCAACAGTTTACATTCCCATTCTTTAAGTTTATTTATTTTGAGAGAGAGAAGCAGCAGCAGCCGCCACCACAGTGGAGGGGCAGAGAGAGGGGAAGAGAATCCCAAGCAGGCTCCGGGCTGGCAGTGCAGTTGGACACTTAACTAAGCTACCCAGGTGCCCAATTCTTATATTCTTAATTATAACTGGAACAACCTTTGTTATAAAGGAGACTGTTAAAAATCATTAGCTCTATGACCATGGACTTGACCTCTGTGTGCCTTGGTTTCTGCAACTGTAAAAATGAGATTTTAAATCTTCACAACATCAGGGTATTGTGAAGATTAACAAACCTGCCGTGCAGAGAGCCTTGCCAGTGTGTGGTGGGCACTGTGCAAATGCTCACTAATACTATTAAGCCTGGGCAGTAAGCACAGGAAAGAAGGAAGCAGATGGAGGCAACAGATCATATCCTATGACATGCTGACAGCCAAGCTGGAGCTTGGACGGCCTCCGAGCATAAAAAAGAAACGGTGAACTGTATTATACAGGAGCACAGCAACCAAGTTTTCCAGAGATTACTCTGGCTGCAGTGTGGAGAGTAGGTCAGAAAGCAAGAGCAAGGCAGAAGGCAGGAGAATCACTGTTCTAGGTGATCCAGGTGACAGGGGACACTGGATGCAGCAGAATGGCAGCAGTGGGTTTGCAGAGGGACGAAGGGCTCAGGAACTATTACACAGTGGCCAAAGTGACAAGATGATGGGAGGATATGCACGTGGGAAGCAAGGAAGTTAAGAATGTGTAGTATGAGGGGCGCCTAGGTGGCTGAGTTGGTTAAGCGTCCAACTTCGGCTCAGGTCACGATCTCACAGTTCATGGGTTCGAGCCCTATGCTGGGCTCTGTGCTGACAGTTCAGAGCCTGGAGCCTGCTTCCGAATCTGTGTCTCCCTCTCTCTGCCCCTTCCCCATTCATGCTCTGTCTCAAAAATAAATAAAAATTAAAACATTAAAAAAAAGAATGCATAGTTTGAACGACTGGGTAAATAAAGCAGCAGCCACGTGGAGAAAAGATAGTGCACTCCACTGAGCTGAAAGTAGATGTGGGGCACACACACAGACATAAAAAGTAGGTAGCTTGATATATGAGCTCAGGCAAGAGATCTAGGCTAAAAATATATATTTGGAAATCAACTGAAATCACAGGAGAGGATGCAGTGACTGAGGGAGAGAACACACAGTGAGAAGAAGAGCCTGGCCACTGAGAAGGTCTCTCTACTGTGCAAGGGCAGGCCTCGTCCAGCGTTCCACTGAACTCGTAAGGCTTGTGTTAACACTGGAGCACTGATTCTCAGGCATAGAGTGAGTCTTTCCAAGCAGCACCTCTGTAGGAACTCTGGTATATATTTTGGACAAGAAAAGAGAACGCACGCAAGTTATGAAAAGCAATTCTCAAAGATGCCCTAGCCACTGACACTTCTATCTGGGCACAGAAGAAATCACAGGGCTGCCAGGCACATTACACAGTTCACAGTGAAGAGCAAAATTACTGCTCTGGGAGGATAATCTCAGATCTGAAATTGAGGCAGGGCCTTAGCTGAGTCACCATTTCAGCAAGATTCATTTCCAGTATATAAAATGGAAATAGGGGCACCTGGGGGTTAAGCGTCCGACTTCAGCTCAGGTCATGATCTCACAGTTCATGGGTTCGAGCCCCACATCGGACTCTGTGCTGGCAGCTCAGAGCCTGGAGCCTGCTTTGGATTCTGTGCCTCCCTCTCTCTCTGACCCTCCCCTGCTCACGCTCTCTCTCTCTCTCTCAGAAATAAATAAAACATTTAAAAAAATGTAATAAATAAATAAAATGGAAATAAAGTCTATTCAAGCCTTAAATTGGGAAGTAGGATGGGGAGGCTGAGAAGAGAACTTTACACCTTTACCTCATGCTCTTCTGTACTAGTTCTTATGAGACCTTCGGAATGCCTACCTCACACGAATTTCATAATTAAATATGATACTATCAGTGAGGGTACTTAACAGCCACTGTCATGTAGCAGGTTCTTAACATGTTAGCCGATTCCACATCCCTACCAGGGATGCGTCTGATAGACTGAGCTGGTTTACTGATGACTTATGATGAAGAACAGTATGTAAGTAAGTTACTTACTCTTTCTCGAAGCCTTGAATCATACTTTACTGTCAGATCTTTGCAAACTTTGCTCTTCTCCAAAATCCCATGCACAGTCTGAAAACGGAAAGACAATGGTTTCTCACAAAAAGAGTCATTCTAGCCAAAATGTCAAAATACATCGTAGTACATAAAAAAAGAACTAGAAATGATTTTCCTTTGTGAAAGCTGACTCTCTTCACACTGATCTGGGTATTTTCTTCTGAGCCATCGTCTAGTTTGCAGGTTAGCAAATTAGAGCCCAAATCCAGACCACAGCTTGTTGTTATAAATGAAGATTTATTAGAACAGCTATTTATGTATTGTTTGTGGCTGCTTTCACCATAAAACAGCAGAGCTGAACAGTTGTGACAGAGACCATGGAGCCCATAAAACTTAAAAAACATTTACTATCTGGCCCTTTACAGAAAAGGTTCTGGGTCATTAATTCTCCATTCAGGTATGCCCACACTGCTGTGAAATCCATCTACTGAGTCTTAATTTCAGTTATATTTTCAGTTCTAGAATTTGCACTTGGTTCTTGTGCATAATTTCCAGTTCTCTGTTGTAATTCCATATGTCATTTTTTAATCTGTGCTTTCAACAGTTATTTTAAAGTCTGTGTCTGGTAACCAGTTATCAAATAACTCCCGTGGCTTATTTCTGTTGTCTTTTGCTTGGGCTCATTTTTGTTCATATTTCCTTCTCTCCTGACGTGCCTGGTTATTTTTGATCAACAAGAAACACTGTATTTGCAAAATGAGAAAGAATTTAGTCCACAACCTGACTTGTTTATAATCCCCTCCCCACAAATTAAACATTATTATGGTTCTATATTGTCATTATTTGTTTATATTTACCCTTAATTTTACCAGTGTCATTGCTCACCAATCTTTTCTGAAACCCAGACCTCCCTGCTGGAATTATTTTCTTTCTTAAATTAACCTTTGAAAGTTCCTTTCCCCTACACCCTAGAAAATATTTTGCTGGGTATAAAACTCTAGGCTAGTCTTTATTATCTCTTCAGTCCATTGAAAAAAGTTATTACTGATACCGACAAATTTGTTGATAGTCTAATACTGGTCATTAGTGGATGACGTTTGTCCTTCATTTTGGGAGTTTTGCAATTTTGTTATTGTTAAGTGTAGATATAGGTTTCTTTTTATTTATCCCCACTGGGATCTGTCACACTTTCTGGATCTGATAATGTGTTATCTTTCAAAAGTTCTGTAAAATTATCAACTGTGACTTCTTTGACTCCTTTCCCATTGTAACATCTCCTTCTGAAAGACACCAGACCTCATCTCATGTTCTTCATTTCTTTTAAACTCTCAAATGTTTCGGGGCGCCTGGGTGGCTCAGTCGGTTAAGCGTCCGACTTCGGCTCAGGTCATGATCACACGGTTTGTGGGTTCGAGTCCGCATCGGGCTCTGTGCTGACAGCTAGCTCACAGCCTGGAGCCTGCTTCAGATTCCGTGTCTCCCTCTCTCTCTGACCCTCCCCTGCTCACACTGTCTCTCTCTCTCAGAAATTAACATTAAAAAAAAAAAAATTAAACTCTCAAATGTTTCATCTGTTTATCACATTGTGCTACATTTCAGTTACTATTTTACATTTACCTATGAGCTAATCATCATTTCTACTATGTGTAATCTGTAATTTAGTACATCCACTGAAGTTTTCATTTTTGGTTTATCAACTTGTTCTGTATTTTTAAATCAATTTCATTGAGGTATAATTCACACACAAAAATAACTATTTCTAAGTGTACAATTCATTGAGTTTTGAAAAATTTATAGGACTATCTACATACCACCAAAATCAAGATATGGAAGAATTCTATCACTCTGAATGATTCCTTTGTGTCCTTTTTAGTTAGTCCTTCTCAATCCTGGCTCAACAACAACAGATCTGCTCCATATAATGAAGATTAACTTTGTCCTTTCTAGAGTCTCATATAAATGGAACCATACAATATGTACTCTTTGTGTCTGGCTTCTTTTGTTCAGCATGTTGCATGTTTTTGAGATTCCTGTACACTGCTGCTGAGTTGTATTCCACAGCATGAATGAATCACAGTTCATTTATCCGTTCACCTACTGACAAACATGGGTGATTCTGCCCTTTGCCAATTATGAACAAAGCTGTTAAATAGCTGTGTACAAGTCTTTGTGTAAACATATGTTATTTCTCTGGATCAATTCTTAGGACTGAGATTGCTGGATCATATGATTAGTGTATGTCAAACTTTCACTGTTTTCCAAAGTAGTTGTTCCATTTTACAGTCTCACTAACAATGTAGGAGTCCTAGCTGTTCCACATTCCTGTGCACTTTCAAATGTTCCTGTAATAGAATCTCACTGTGGTTTTAATCTGCATTTCTGTCAAGATCAATTACACTAAACATCTTTTCATATGTTTATTGACCTTCCATATTCTCTTCTTTTGTGAACTGTCTGGTCAAATTCAAAATTTTTCCCCCATTTTAAACTGTTTTCTATTACTAAGCTGAAAAAAATTTATATATATGACTATATACATATTTATCTAGATAGATGTGTCAGATACACATATATATTATATATAAAATATAATCTGTATCTTATTTATGCCTTGCACTAAGACACCTTTATAAAGATTTTCTCCTGTTTCTTATTGAAGATATATAGATTTAGCTTTTAGATTTGTGCTGAGATCAACCAGAAGTTAATTTTTGTGTGTTATATGAGGTAAAGGTCAAAGTTCATGTTTTTCCATATGGACAGCCCATTGTTTCAGCAGCTTCTAGTGAAAAGAATACCTTTCAAGTGCTGCATTAGCTTGGCACCTTGGTCAAAATCCAAATGACAAAAAAGGATTCTGACTTCCAGGGAAGAGGATGGAGTAGGGCCCCAAGTTCACCTCCTCCCAGGAGAACTACGGGAGAACACTCACATCAGTGTCAATAACCCAGAAAATGGCCCCAAGACTGGCCGAACAAATTCCACAAGTACAGGTAGATAAGAGGCCAAGAGGAAGAGGGTAGGAAGGGCAAAGACACAAAGGGGAGTTAAACACACCTGCAAGCCATCCGCAGGAGCAGGGAGCAGAAGACCAGGAAAAGGAAGAGAAATACACACCACGAAGCCCATGTGGGGAAGACAAATCCCCATTACATTTGGCTTTGAAAACCAGAGGGGTTGAATTTTTCAAGTTCTAAGAATCAGCAGGATTTAAAACCAGGAATTTTAAAAATCAGTGGGCATGAGGGCCAGAGAAGTGGAGTCCAAGCTCTTAAAAGAGTCAGCACAACAAACAACCGAAGGAGACACAGCATAAAAGCAGCACTTTGAAAACTGCCTGGGGCACACAGGAGGGCAAGTTATTTGCGAATCTCAGAACAAGTCCAGAGGGGCAGCAGTCACAGGGACACTCCTCCAGGAAGAAAGAAGCTGGCTTGCAAGATTTCCTTCCCCTGCCCCATAGAGTACACACATGGCTAGCCGTGGGAACCAGTAAGAACCAGCGTGGCAGACATTCACTACCACACTTGCTAACACTGCCACCTACCCTCCAGCACCTTGCGAATCCACCCCATCCAATACACTCCTGGCCTGAGCTCATCCAGGGCAGTGCCACAAGCCTGGCAGTGTGCAAGTAGCTCCTACAGTGACCAGTACCACTTCAAGGTGACTCCAGCTCTGGGGAGGGGGAAAGATGATACCACCACCACCACCACCACACACACACACACACACACACACACACACGTGTCAGACTGTGGCCCTAGCAGTGGGCTGGAGGCAGACAACTAGTCTGACCGCAGGTCCTGCCCACAAATAAAAGCTTCTCAGGAGACAACATGGGGAAAGTGCCCTGCAGTTTGGTGCTACCACACCTCTGGCAAATGCCTGGTCTGACTCAACTCAGGCCCAACGCAGCCCCAGACTGGCCCACTGGCAACAAAGGGACGAAACCCTGCCCACAACAGACAGAGAACCTCTGCAGGTGACTGGACTGAAAACCAAAGTGGCTCAGCCTTAACAGGCAGGTGCACACAGCACACATGAGACACGCCTGCAGCACCAGGTTCTAATAAATAGCGGGCGCTGCACTGCAGGGCACTACAGGACCTCTTCTTCACAAGGCCACTTCCTTCAAGAACAGGAGACACAGCTGCTTTCCTAACACATAGAAACGAACACAAGTTACACACAAATGAGGAGTCAGAGAAATATGTCCCAAATAAAAGAAAAGGACATAAACACAGCAAGAGATCGAAACAAAATGGAGACAGTAGTATGCCTGGTAGAGAATTTAAAGTGATGCTCATAAAGATACTCACTGAATTTGAGAAAAGAGTGGAGGACATCAGTGGGACCCTTAACACAGAGATAAAAAGGAACCAATCCAAGATGAAGAATACAATAAATAAAATTTAAAATACACTAGATGGAATAATTAGTAGGCAAGAGGAAGCAGAAGAATGAATCAGTGACCTGAAGACAGAGTAATGGAAAACAATCAAGCTGAGTAGGTAAGAGATTTTATATACATACATATATATGTATATATATATATGCAAAATGAGAACAGATTTAGAGAAATCAAGTGTCATAACATTCATACTACATGGATCCCGAACATATGAAAAAAAAAGAGGGCAGAAAATTTATTTGAAGACATAACAGCTGAAAATTTCCTGAATCTGGGGAAGGAAACAGAAACCCAGATCCAGGAGGCAGAGATGCCCCAACAAAATCAACACAAGAGGTCCATTTCAAGAAACACAGTAATTAAAATGGCAAAAAGTAGTGAAAGAGAAATTTAAAAGCAGCAAAAGAAAGCAGTTACATACAAGGGAAATCCATTAAGGCTATCAGTTGATTTTTCAGCAGAAAGTATGCAGGCCAGAAGGAAGTGACATGATATATTCAAAGTGCTGAAAGGATAAAATCTACAACTGAAAACACTATCCAGCAAGGCTATCATTCATAATAGAAGGAGAGATAGAGTTTCCCAAACAAAAGTTAAAGGAATTCATGACCACTATACCAGCCCTACAAGAAATGGTGAAGGCAACTCAGAATGGAAAGGAAAGACCTTAAGTGAGGGTAAGAAAAGTGGGAAGTACAGCAGCAGTAAAAACAAGCATATCTATAAAAATCAGTCAAGCAACTCACAAATAAAAGGATGTAAAGCATGAACCATATACCTAAAACATGGGGAAGAGAAGAGTAAAGAATGGGTTCAATCTAAGTGACCATAAACATATTATGGACTGCTATATGCAGAAGATGTTATATACCAACCTAATGGTAACCACAAATCAAAAACCAGTAATAGATATGCAAAAAATAAAGAGAAAAGAATCCAAGTAAATCACTACAGAAAGCCCAAGAAGAAAGGAACAAAGAACTACAAAAACAAACATAGAATAAGTAACAAAATAGCAAATAAACACAATATTTCAATAATTACTTAGTGAAAGGACTAAATGCTCCAATCAAAAGAAACAGGATGACAGAAAGTATAAAAAACCAGACCCATCTATAAGCCACCTCAGAAAGACTCCTTTCAGACCTAAAGACACATGCACATTGAAAGAGAGGCAACAGGGAAACATTTATCATGCAAATAGATGTGAAAAGAAAGCTAGGGTTGCAATACTTATATTGGACAAAACAGACTTTGAAACAAAACTGTAACAAGGGACAAAGAAGGACACTACATAATAATAAAGGGGAAAATCCAACAAGAAAACACAACTAATGTAAATATTTATGCACCCCACATAGGAGTAACCAAATACATAAAGTAGCTAATAACAACATAAAGAAAGTAGTCGATAGTAATACAATAATAGCAGGGTACTTCAACACCTCACTTACATCAATGGACAGATCATCTGAAAAAAAAAAATTAACAAAGAAACAGTGGCTTTGAATGACACACTGGACCAGACAGCTTTACCAAATACAGTCACGAAATTTCATCCCAAAACAGTAGAATACACATCCTTTTCAAATGCACATGGAACATTTTCCAGAGCAGATCACATATTAGGTCACTAAACAAGTCTCAAGAAATTCAAAAATGATCAAAGTCCTACCAACCATCTTTTCTGACCACAATGCTATGAAGCTAGAAATCAACCACAAGAAAAAATCTGGGAAGAGCACAAATACATGAAGGTTGGATTACATGCTATTAAATAATGAGTGAGTCAACAAAGAAATCAAAGAGGAAACTAAAAAATACATGGAAACAAATTAAACTGAAAACACAACGGTCCAAAATCTTTGGGATGCAGCAAAAGCCGTTCTAAGAGGGAAGTTTATAGCAATACAGACCTACCTCAAGCAAGAAAAATCTCAAATAAACCACTAACCTTATGCCTAAAGGAGATAGAAAAAGAAAAACCAAAACTTAAAACCAGCAGAAGGAAGGAAATTATAATAAAGGGTAGAAATAAATAAAATAGAAACTAAAAAAAAGAATAGATCAATGAAATCAAGAGCTGATTCTTTGAAAAATCAACAAAACTGATAAACCTTTAGCCAAACTCATTTTTAAAAAATAATAATAGAGGGCTTAATAAGACCAATTGACCAAAATACCAAACCAATGAGAAAAACCAAAACCAAACAAACAAAAACAACCTGACCAGGTAAGTGTTTGTCTGTCTTAGACCCCTAAATTGAGACTCTTTTTTTAGTCTTCTTTTTTCCTTAATTTTGGAATGTTCTGTTTCTATAACTTCAAGGTCACTGCTCTTCTTCTATAGTGTCTAACCTGCTGATAAACCTCTCCTGTGAAATTTTCATTTCAGAATATTGTTTTTGATCTCTAAAAGATGAATTTCGTTCTTTTCATATCTTCTATTTATTTCCTCATTATGTTACTCAAGCACAGATCAGCTTCACTATTTTTTTTAATATTTATTTATTTTGAGAGAGACAGAGAGAGCGTGAGCAGCGGAGGGACAGAGAGAGAATTTCAAGCAGGCTCCACACTCAGCATGGAGCCTGATGTGGGGCTCAATCCCCTAAGTAGGAGATCATGACCTGAGACAAAATCAAGAGTTGGATGCTTAACCAACAGAGCCTCCCAGGCACTCCATTAATTAATTCATTTTTTTTTTTCCAAGTAAGCTCTATACCCAAATTGGGCTTCAACTCACAACCCAGAAATCAAGAGTTGCATGCTCTACTGACAGAGCCAGCCAGACACCCCAGCTTCACTATTAATGTGTGATCTTTCTGAAGTGTCCACTGTATGCCTGATATATTTAACAAAGTCTCTCCACTTTAGGTGGAAGGAACGCAAATGATTCCTAACCTGTGTGAACTCCTGAAATTGTCTGGCTTCTGGCAGCCTGGGGATTGTTCTCTCCCCAGCAATTATGTTTTACACCTGGCCTCATGCAGTCCCACCCATGCATGTGCAGGCTGTAATCTACCAAGGATTTAAGGGACTCCCTACAAGTACTTCTAGAGTTCTTTCTCTGTGCAGCTCCCTCTTCCAGCACTCTGCCCCACGATCTTTATTTAACCTCCCCACATTCCAAGCTTTGTCTCCTCAACTCACAGAGACCACTGGCTCTATCTGGCTTCTCCTACCAGCTTCGGGAAATTGCTTCAAGTGGAACACAAGGGCAATCCAAGGGCTGACGTCACTTGTTTGGCTTGATTTGGGGATCACGGGCCCACATTATCTGAAGTGCAAGGTCTATAAGGTTGTTTCACAAATTTTGTCCTGTTTCTCTAGTTGCTTTTGCAGGGAGACTATATCCCAACCTTGTTTTTCCCTTAAGGTTGACACAAAGTCCCCTTCCATTCTTTATACATTTATTTGCTTCCTTTTTAATTCCTTGAGGTCATTTTTATAGTAATCTGTTCCCTAAAGATATTTCAAACATGTCATTTATTTCTTTACAGTAACATAGTTCTTTTTTTTCTTCATCTAGATTCCATTATTTGATATCTTTGTGAGTTAAATTCTGCTATCTGGTGTTCCTGCTGGCTCTCTCTCCTAAACTTTGTCTTTTTAAAGATACTTTGTTAGGTATTTTCCCCAAGCTACTCTAATTTAAAAATCACCAAGGGGTGCCTGGGTAGCTCAGTCGGTTAAGCGTCCGACTTCAGCTCAGGTCATGATCTCAACAGTTCGTGGGTTTGAACCCTGAGTCAGGCTCTGTGCTGACAGCTCAGAGCCTAGAGCCTACTTTGGATTTTATGCCTCCCTCTCTCTCCTTTCCCTCCCCCACTCACACTCTGTCTCTCTCTCAAAAATAAATAAAAACATTTAAAAAAATTAAAAATAAAAATACAATTACCAAGTCAAAATAAAGTATAAAAGTAAAATGAAAAGAAAGAAGTTCCGTTGGTGGGGGAAGGAGAGGATTGGGGATGGTATCTCTGTGTGATTTAATTTCTTACAGATTCTGGCAGTGGTTTTCAAGGTCATGGCTGTTGATCCTCTTGATTCATCAGTCTAAACCTTGACTGTTAACTTACCTGCCTTGTCCTTGTGAGGTCACTGGAGAAAACATGAGTAAATTTCACATTATTAAGAAATACGCCAGCAGCAGCTGCTTGTTTAAATCCAGTTTCTGAAAGAGGCTCATCTACTCCTTGTCCTATAGTAGTAAGAGAAGGAACAATAACATTCAAATATATATGCATAAAGGATGCAAATAAAATCACATGTAGGAGAATATAATTTGTCTACACTTTATTTAAAAGATTTCCTTGAAATCTTGAAGGGGCAAGCGGGTGGCTCAGTCAGTTAGGCCTCTCACTTTGTGAAATTGAGCCCTGCGCTGGGATTCTCTCTCCCTTTCTCCCTGCCCCTCCCCTGCTTGCACTTGTGCTCGCCCACTCAAAATACATAAACATTAAAAAATATGTATTTCCTTGGTTATTTTTCTACACAACTTTTCAGAAAACTGGAAACAAGTAAATTTAAGCTATAATCCTATAAAAGACTCAGGTATTCAAATGTTTCCCAAAAAGAATGTCTGCCTAATGGGAATCAAATGATGAGCATTCAGTTGTCCCCAGCTCCCACCTCTCTCGTGCTTGCCCATCCCTTTGTGGGCAGCATTTTATTAATGCTGGCTCTGATCTTATGTCCTCCACCCAGGTGCTTCATTTGAATGATAGGATCATCATCTAAAAAGTTTCCCTTCTTTTTCTCCATTGCCTAAAATACCCAATACTGCATTACTGCTTCTCTTCCCCTTCCTTCTTTTTCCTTTAAAAAAAAGGTTGGAACTTCCAATTCCAGGAGAAAGCCTGATTAAACACTCTGAAGGGTCGTCCCATAACAAAAGAACTGAATATGTATGTAAGCACGTGCTTACAAGATATCTCCAAGAGGAGATGCAAAGCAACCAAAATACCCTGAGCTGAAAGCTAAATATTAATATTAGAAAACAGAGATGGCTTGATGCTCAGCACAAGCAAGGGGGCGGTCGGGGGAGGAGACTGCTGCATGGAACAGCAAGGTAGGAGAACTAAAACTCCACATTCCTGGAAGCCAGAGATCCTATAAGGAAGCTCATATAGTTTCAGGTCTGCAGTAAAATCAAATGCAAATTCTCTTAAAAGCAAATCTGACTCAATAAAGGCTAAGATGTTTTCTACTAATTTAGAGTAAATAATAATTTGGTCAATGGGGTGCCTGGGTGGCTCAGCCGGTTAAGCATCCGACTTTGGCTCAGGTCATGATCTCACAGTCCATGAATTCAAGTCTCACACTGGGCTCTGTCCTGACAGCTCAGAGCCTGGAACCTGCTTCGGATTCTGTGTCACCTCTCTCTCTCTGCCCCTCCCCTGCTCATGCTCATTCTCTTTCTCTCTCTCTCTCAAAAATAAACAAATGTTTTAAAAAATTTTAATAATTTGGTCAATGACTTAACATACAAGAAAACAATCCTCCATGAATGAAAGTCACCAGAAACAAATAGATTCAGAATTATTAATAGTTTAGACATTGAAGCAGCAAATACAGACTATAAACTGTGAGTAACACATAAAGAATCACAAAAATAAGAAAGTAACAAGAAGCCATCAAAAACAACCAAACAGCTTTCTAAAAGAACCAGACAGATCTTTCAATAATGAAAATCAGAACTGCTGAGGAGGGAAATAATCTTTCAGTAGATGAAGGGAGATTTAGTAACAGAAAGGCTTAATGAACTCAAAGACAAGACCGAGGTTTTTAGCCCAGATGCAGCATAGATAAGGAGATGAAACACATCTCAGATATATTAGAGACATGAAGGAGAGAATGATATTCCTTAACATACATACATCTGACTGGAATTCCAGAAAGAAGAAAATGGAGGAGAGGAAATATGAAAAGATAATGACTGAGAATTTTCCAGAAATGAGGGAAGATATAAGTCTACAGATACAGAAAACACCAAACAGGAAAATTAAAAAAAAAAAAAAAAAACAACCTCCTGGATATATTATAAGAAACTGCAGAACACCAAAATCAAATAAAAGATTTTAAAAGCAGTTACAAAGAAAGATTGCCTACCATGGAGCACGATTTGGCTGAGAGAAGAGTTAACAGGGGCAATGGGGGCCAAAAAAAAAAAAAAAAAAAACACAACCCAAACACACACAATAATATTTTCCAAGTGCTAAAAGTACTGTCAGTCTGTCAGTCTAAATTGTCTAGGCTAAAAAAGGTCAAATAAAATTAAAATAGAATTGTCTGGAATAGAAACAATTAAAACTATCTTTACCACCAACCAATCTGCACCACGGGAACTTTCAAAGAAGATACTTCATGAATGAAGGTCTGGATGCAAAAGAAATTATAAGGGGAGAAACCCGTAAGTATATATGTAAATCTAAACAAATATTGTCTAAATAACAAATTAAATAATAATGCCTAGGTCACGTGGTTAAAAAAGGATAGGACTAAGATACTAAGCAATAATCATGTAAGTCCTTTATATTTTGGGAGGAAAAGTAATATCGATATTATACTTAATTAGGTATGAATGGTAAAAATTTAAAGGTAACCACTGGAAGAATAGGCAGGGGTGAAGGGTGGGGAAGGAGAAAGGAGGAGGAAAATCAACCATGTAGGGTCTATGAAGTAACACGTAAGACATCACAGAATGGTAGAAAGGAAAGCAATGGAAAAACATATACCAGGCAATTCCCAACCCCAATACAGCTGGAGAAGCTATATTACACTCAGAAATGTAGGACTTTATGACCAAACGATTGTGAGGATTACTATAATCAATGATCTAACTCACTGGAAGATAGAACAATTTTTAAACTTGTATGTACCTACTAAAACAGTCTGTAACTATAAAGGACCAGAACACCTAAAGCATAAATTGATAGAATTTCTGGTATTAAAGGATAAATTGGCCATTACAGTGAGATATTCCACATCTCACCCATAAATTGACATCGGGGTCATGCAGGCAAATCCGTAAATTGGCAATGTTATTAGCAAAGCATAGAAGATCTGAACAAAAGAGAGGCTGATTATTCGACACCTAACTCCAAACCCAACAATTAGAAAACAGATTTTGGTCAAGCATACAATGGTAGACTTATAAACACTGACCATGTTAATTGATTTCAAAGAGGTATCATCAAATCAACCATCTTGTCAGAAAGAATACAAAATGTAATTGGAAGTCAACCAAAAAATGAACAGAAACAAAAACCTCAGCCATTTGGAAATGTAAAAGATAGTTCTAAACAATTCATGAATCACCGAAGACAATTTAAGACACCTGATGCTGATACTTACAAAATTACTATGTTATCAAAACTGTAGGTATGCAACAAAAGTGGTACTTGGGAATATATAAGCTTTGAATGCTGTAACTTAAATAAGCATCCAACTGACAAAGTTGGGGAAAGAACACAAAACAAATGTGGAAAACAGGTGTGACCACAAACTTTTATTCCTGCTTCATTGTCAGCATCTGATGAAATGAGACAAGTACTAAAGAACCAGGTGTTAAGTCCAAAGGCTAATTTGGGTGGGGCAAGTGTCACCAGAAAAAAAAGGCTCATTTAATTATCAGATGAGCTTTCAGAAGCGGGAGTCAGGCACACTGGGTATGAAAATCAGTTTCTGCAAACTCCAGATGTCCCTAACCAAAAAAAAAAAAAAAAATGAAATGCTTTTCTAATCACCGCACAGAAATAGCATGTCTGGCTGAGAGTTCATCCAAGATATACTTTGAAAGCTAGACTTGCTGGATCATAGGGAGATTAAGATCTGAACCCAAATTAGCAGAACAAGGGAGGAAGAATCTGTTCAGAATAAAGCAACAATCCCACGTGAGAACAGAAATTCGCTTTTTTAAACCTCTTCTTTGTTACTACTAAAAATAATATAACCACCTTAGCAGAAAAATACCATTAACATTAGCCAGCAAACTTCATGTTTCCAAATATGAAATCATTTTAAATCACAGCAGTTACATTTTAAGACCACTAGACCCAATATAACTCTCTAATCAGCTGACTAGCTGATTTGAAGCTTTGAAGCTACCCATAAACAACTTGGAATCCTGTTCTCTACGTCCAGTTCCCATAAGAGACTTATTCCTCATGGTTACCATCTGCTCTGATCTTATTTCTGTGACTATGACGATTTAATTCTTTACTACTGCTCACAATAGAGATGCCCCCAGTCCCCCCTCCCCCACCTACTCTGATTTGCTTATATAACACATTTAACACAGCTAAAATAAAGTATACTAACCTTGAATTATTTTCTCCTTGTTAAATCTTGTTTCTCCACTAAAATAGAGAGAGTGGGAGGGAAAAACTTTTATTACAAAATAGGTTATTTTTGAAATGAGAAAAAAAATCATTAATGAAAGGTAATAATATTCACAAAGGGAGCATATGAACCTTGCAGCATACTTTATAATCTAACCTGTAAACATAAAATTTGTTCTAAATTGATACTACTCTCATGTACTTTGTTGATTTGGGCTAAGAATTTCATATTGCCCCATATTAAAATGTATAAATCATGACTCAACCATAAGTAAATTGTTAAGTAGAATACTCTTAAAATATATATAATTTTATTAAAGAATCTTGTTAAAATAAATATGTTGACTAAAACTCCTTTCACAAGCAGCAGGAGGAAACTGTGAGAGTTGATCTGTTGCTGGACTGAATGAGCACGTGCAAGGGAACGTGAATGTGGTGGAAAACAAGTGTGCAACCTTTCAGATACCCTAGCTTCTCCTGGTTTGTAGATCTACAGCTTTTCTTTTTTGTCATGCTGACAACTATTCTTGGAGACCACACTGAAAAGGTTGGGGTACTATGCTTTTAACAATTAAAAAGTCAAACCAAACCAATTTCAAAGCAACCATAAGAGTGAAGGACTAGAAACTTTGTCACAAAATAACCATCAACTGAGGGGGAAAAAGGGTGGGGGGGTGCTATCTGGACAAGACCAGACAACAGGAAAAGCAATCAAATACATGAAAAGCTATCAAATACATGAAAAGCTATCAAGAATGGAGTTGAACGTTCTTTGAGGTATTTTTATGTGCTAAGTACAGTGATGGGCACTGAAAAACAGAGATGCAAAGGACCAGTGGCTGCCCAGAGAAAAAGGAGTTGGCTTCGGGGTGGACACTGGACACAGAATTGGAAATATTGGGTAAAAATAGTGAACAGGTTTCTTCGGATTAAGTTGTTTCCTCATTTGGTATCAAATGTCTACAACCCATATTTATATACTTCTGTGTCAACAAGAGATGAAAATTCTTTGAAGTAAATGTCAGTGCCATATAGCAGCCTAGGAACAAAACTGCTTTGGCTATATACTTAGGAACTCGGTTAAGCCTGAGTGCCTCTGTTCTCTGTCTGTAAAATGGGGATGATAATAGCCCCCATTTCACAGGACTCTTGGGGTAATTGAGTGAATATAGGTAAGATGTTTAAACACTGCTCAACTTCTAATAAGCACTCAATAGTTCTGTTTATAGGTCATTTTTGGACAAAGCTATACAGAAATCAAAGATTCAACTTAACGCATTTAAAATCTTGTAAGATTTATGAAATAAACAATGTAAACAAATAACATACCATAAATTAATACACTGGTGACCCCACCCAAGTTAACAGATCACCATTACCGGCCTCCTAGACCCAGTCTCTTTCCAATCACAATGTCTTTCCATCCCCAGTTGATCCACTACCTGGACATTTAGATGCTCATTTGCTTTGCCTTTCTTCATAGCTTTCCCACCCAAGTATAGCATAGGATTAGCTTGCCTGTTGTTGAACTTTATAATGAGTTGCTTCTTGCTGTATGCAGTCCTGTGCTGCTTCCATTCCTCAACATTGGGAGATTCATCAGTGTTGTGGAGGGTGGCACACTCCTTACATTCTCATTACTGGGTAATGCTCTCAAGAATTTCCTACAGTGTATTTATATGTTCTATTGTTGTTATTTACATTGTTTCCAGTTCAGAGCTAAGCTGCTGTGAATATGTTTGTACAGAGCACATCATATTCTCTAGGACAGCAGCTCGCAAAGTGTGGCCTCTGAACAAGCATCACTGACCACTGCCTGGGGCCTTTTGGAAATGCAAATTCTCAGGTCCCACCTCAGACTCCTGAATCAGAAGCTCAGAGGTTGTGGCCCACTTATTCTGTTTTAATAAGCCCACCAGGTGATTCTGATCCACATTCATGTTTGAGAACCACTCAAAGACTGGCACACGACTCTTTTAGCAGAGCTGTATTGGAATGCAGTCACACCCATTTGTTTATATGTTGTTTATGGCGACTTTCACACTATAATAATGGAACTGAGCGGTCCAGAGTGCATGGCTTGTAAAGCCTAAACTACTTCCTACCCCTTAATTAAAAGTTTGCTAAGCCATACCTAGTGATCCAGGCCTAGCATTAGAATTGCTGAGCCACAGAGTATGCAAACATTTAGCTTTATTAAATAATACTGAAATGGTCACAGCAATTTACATCCCTCAGCAGTGTTCCACATCCTCTCCAACATTTAGTAATGTCAGAGTTTCCCGTATGTGCCAATCTGGCACCAGAATAGTTCATCTCAGTTTTACTTGAATTTGTGTTTCCCTGATTACTGTGAAGGCTCATCACCCCTGCTTTGTTTTAAATAAAGCACTAGTTTAAAAAAAAAAAAAAAAGGCAAAACAAAAGCCTTCACGAGATTGACTTACACAGATCCAGAAAGGAACTCCATCAGACCCTAGTCAGAATCACAAACCCTTGTCCCTTGTCTACAAAACTAGGTGTCTGCCAACCTTTTGTCTGCCAACCTTTGCCTAGAACAGTGGTTCTCAGACTTGAAAGTGCATCTGAATCCCCTGGAGAGATCATTAAAACAGAGACTCTGGACCTGACCAGTATGTTCTCACTCTTGAAGACTCAATAGAGACAGCCAGCTCTGTGAGAAAGTATCCCTCCCAGACACCATTCCCCACCTACTTAGCCCATTTAAACACCCCCAGGCCATACTCCCATTTTACCCAGCTCCACTACCGTAAGTTACCACCTGTATGCTAATTCACCTTTTTAGTTGTTGGTCTAACCTGGCTCCAGCTCCTTAAAGGCACAACCAGAGGTTGCTTTGCCCTAACCAACTCATAGCCCGGAGAAAACCCAGGGAAATAACAGAACCTCAGTGTCTGTACTCTGCTGATGGAAGGTCATCTGGAACTATCAATCAAAATAATAAATCTGTTTGCCCTCGGATATAGCAACCATAATACTGGGTATACTTGCATTCAACCTTATTTAAAACAATATCTGCCACAATATTTTTTTCTAATAGCAAAGGCTGGAAAATAACCTAAATACCCATTAACAGAGAGCTGGTTACATTAACAAATAAAAAGTGGTGTATCTACATATTGAAATACTATGCAATTGTGTCCCCTAAAGAGAGAATGATTTATGTAAAGGTATGGAAAGAGAACCAAAATATATTAAGGAGCAAAAAGCAAAGTGCAGGGTAATCTAAAAAGAGTCCTCTCTTTTTAGAAAGGTGGGAAATAAACAAACAATTGGCCCTGAACGTGCATGTCCTCACTCACACACAAACACTGGAAAGATATATAAGAAACTAATAAATGTGATCACCTGAGGGATGAGAGAACAGGTAAGACTCGGGAGAACTGTTCTGACTTCTAAATATGTGGATGTAACTTTAAAAAAAATGTACGACAAATATATGAAGATTTTCAAAATTATTTACCACTGATTTGCCATTATTATCATTGTTGTAGTTAATATTAATAAAATGTCTTTTGCTCCAAAATTCATTTAGAATCATATGAAATGGATGTGAAAGAGTGTATTAATCTCTATCATTCAGACAGATAAAGTATCCAGGGTGATGACAGAGAAGCTGCCATTTTTTAAAAAAATTTTGTTTATTTGAGAGAGAGAGAGAGAAAGAGAGAGAACACAAGCAGGGGAGGGGCAGAGAGAGGGAAAGAGAGCATGAGCAGGGGAGAGGCAGAGAGAGAGAATCTGAAGCAGACAGAGCAGGAACCTAGAAAGGATTTTTCCCCCAAAACTTTCATAAATATTTAGTTTTACAGCTTTTATCAGCTTTATCAAGAGGTCTGTATAAATCCTTAAGGCAACTGTTTAAAGTCTGTTTTGGGAGTGGGAAAGAAAAGTAGGTGGCTAAAATAGTTTTACTATTAATCTATTTCCTGTAACCAAAGTTTGGGCTGTGATAGCAGCAGAGAAGGTAGAAGGAGCTGAAAGGTCAGGGGAATATATTTTAAAAGAGTCAGAAATAACACTACTCATTTTCAAAATCTGCAGTGTGATCCATTTCCAACACAGAACACCAGCCTCTGCAAGAATCCAAATGCTTATGCCAAGAAGCTAAGTCTTATGACCAGCCATTTATAGGCTCTACAAATACGCATCATTCATTTTATAGGTTATTACACCATTCTTCACTTTAAAAGATAGTTTATGTTGTTCTGGTTTACATTCTACGGCATTTCCTTAGAAGTCATTTAGAAAGCTTAATTTCCCAATCATAATCTTTTAAAGAATTCAAATTCAATAGACGAATTCGGTTTGCCACAAGACCAAGACAAATCAGGGGAAATTAGTAAAGATCTGGGGCATGTTTTCAAAGTAGATACACTTTGGGCGCCTGGGTGGCTCAGCCAGTTAAGCGACCGACTTCAGGTCAGGTCATGGGTTCAAGCCCCGCGTCAGGCTCTGTGCTGACAGCTAGCTCAGAGCCTGGAGCCTGTCTTCAGATTCTGTGTCTCCCACTTTCTCTGCCCCTCCCCCACTCACACTCTGTGTGTGTCTCTCTCTCAAAACTAAACATTAAAAAAATTTTTTTAATCAAAATACATATGTTTTAGTATACATGGAAATGTGCCTCACCTGATATTTAATCATGAATACAGTTTTATCCTAATTCCGCTCTACCAATTAATTCGTTTGAAAATATAGACGATTTCGAGGGCTAGTAACATGAAAATTTTCACTAGATGGTCTGGGGGGGAAAATGTAACATATCCAACTCATCTTTATGTTTTTGTTTCTATATGTTAGTCCTAGTTGCAAATGCTCTCCCAATTGATCAATCCTATTCTCAGAAGACCTAATACTTCTTTTGCTTGCTTTATTTATGACCGGAACAATTACTGGCATTCAACAAAAAGTAACTGTCAATAGGTGTAGTGTAAGAAAAGCAAATCAGTTTTGCTACCATTAACTTGACTAATTTATCATCTTTAAGTCATTAAAAGCAAATTAAATGAAGTTTGTAAAATTTTTTAGATTTTAAGAGCTGGTTAAAAATAGAAGCGAAACAGGATGGTTTTGCAGGCAACTAACTGCAAACAGACACAAATAATATTTCAAGGGAAGGGGTGCCTTCAGCGGGTTGTATAGGTGATGGAAGTCCCAATCTACATATATTGCGGTTTTCAACAATGCTATGCTAGATCAGAAGTTATAGTTTAATAATATTAAAAGACTTGAAGCTTGAAATCTTGGGTATTCTATTCCAAAATGATACTTGTGAGCACAAGCGTGATGGAGACAAACACACACAGGTAGTAACAGCACAAGCTTCATAAAGGATTTGGTTGAACTTACAGAAACTACACCTTAAAAGCTTTCTTGCATTATCTGAAACACACTGGTCACTAAAATTATCCATCTCTTTAAAAACACCCTTGCATATTTAACAATGGTGATTATTAACCAAGTCTGCAATCGTTTCTTTTTCTGAAAGTGTCATTAATTCTTAGCTTGGAGAACTCAGAAGGGGAAAGAGGGATAATCCAGGCAGGAGAGCAGCTAACCATAACCCTGTCAATTATTTCAAAACTGTAACTCCACTTTCCCACGAATTAAACAACAAGGCAAACTATTCCCAACACTCTACACAATTATATTGGCAGAAATAATAAGTAGCCACTAAAATGGCTGGTGATATTCAAGCTATCTACAAACACTAGGTTTTAACTCCATAAAATAGGAGGCAGAGAGTACAGTGATTGAGAGGATGGGCTGGGCTGTAGAGTCAAGCTTCTTTGGTTCAATCCCACCACTCCAACCAGCCACATGACTTCGAGCAAGTTACAGGTCCTCTGCATCTGTTTTCTCACCTGCAATTTGAGAAACAATCCTCACCTCACTGGATTGTTGTCAGAACTTAATTACAACAGTGCCTGGCACATAATAATGTATAAAGACTCATTTTTAAATTGATTCCTCAAAGGATTTCTATAAGGAATCAGTTTTTTAAATTGAGCCCTTTTTTAAGAAGCACAAAGGAAACAAGGGGCGCCTGGGTGGCTCAGCTGGAAGCATCTGACTTTGGCTCAGGTCCTGATCTCACGATGCTTAAGTTTGAGCCCCCTTCCCCGCCCCCCATGGGCTCTGTGCTGACAGCTCAGAGCCTGGAGCCTGCTTCAGATTCTATGTCTCCCTCCCTCTCTGCCCCTCCCCTGCCCACACTCTCTCTCTCTCAAAAATAAACGTTAAAATTTTTTTTTCTTGGGGCGCCTGGGTGGCTTAGTCGGTTAAGCGTCCGACTTTCACTTAGGTCATGATCTCGCGGTTCGTGGGTTCGAGCCCCGCGTCGGGCTCTGTGCTGACTGCCAGCTCAGAGCCTAGAGCCTGTTTCAGTCTGTGACTCCCTCTCTCTCTGACCCTCCCCTGCTCACGCTGTCTCTCTCTCTCTCTCTCTCCTAGAAATAAATAAAACATTAAAAAAAAAATTTTTTTTTTAATTTTTTTTTCTTAATTAAAAAAAAAAAGCAGGGAGGGGACAAAATCCAAATTCATGTAACTACTGTCCATAAGAATCTAAACAGAGATCACCTTACTATCAAGGGATGGTTCAATCCTGATTTCCTGCAACTTGAGAACTTCAATTATATGTCAGACAGTGCTGCTCAGTCAACAAAGCATCCAGAAAGTGCTCAAACACTGGAAAAACCAGGGCTCTACTTCCTGCTCTGCTACCAATGAGCTACATATGACCTTAAGTAGGTCATTAAATGGTCATAAAGCATTCTATAAAATGGAGGGGTGGGGGGAGAAGAGACAGAGAGGAACCTGTTTTCTAGTTTAGTCATCAAAATCCTGTGAGTCCTACAGAGATAATTCTGATGATTCCCAAGATTATCCTCCCAGGAAGAACAGGATAAAAAAAACAAAAAAGATACCAGTTAAAGTCCGCTTGACAAGGTTAAGTCCTATTAGTGTTCCTTGTGAACTCTGGAAGTCAAAAACGGTATCTTACTTACCTGTATAACCAGGCCACGGGTACCTAACACCTATTCAAAATGCGGGTCTGATAAAACTATACTTACATCCTGAGGACCAGCTACATTTTTATTACAGATGCTCTTACGGAATCGGAAGTTATTTAATTCTTGAGACACACCTCTTCCCCTCCGTTGCTCTATACACTGCCTCAGACCAGTGAGGCAGGTGGTATCACGACCCCCATTTTATGTGCTAGCAAACTGAGGTCGTCAGGATTACGTCTGTTAACGCAAGCCCGAGTTACAAGGTTCCTCCCAACCGGATTCCAACCTAGGTCTATCCTGCCTGAAAAATCTGTGCTCTGAACCGCCCTGAACTGTACTTCCTTCCTTTAACAGCCGGCAACTTCCTAAGCGTTAAGGAAAACGGTGAGAGACACGAAGACATAGCAGCCCAGTGACAAAAATATTTGTTGGGGGTGATGCGGCCGGCAGAGACGAGGGCCTCTGCCCGCTTCCACCACCAGCAGTGTGGGAATTAACTAACTCTCAGGTCTATGCCTGCGGCTGCCCTGGCAAGCGAGGGAGGTGGGGAGCGACAGCATAGACGGAGAGAGCGAGCAGAGGAAGGCGCACGAATACGGGCCTGGGACGAGCTCTCCGCAAATTCTTTAGAATCGTAGGAGGAGCACCCAGCGGCGCACGAGGAAGTCCGAAGCCAAGGCTGGCTTTCTTCGGCTTTAACTCCGCCAAGTGGCTGCGAACCTCGGCCGTTTACTCTTCCAGACCTCAGTGTACTCATCTGTAACGCGGATCTCCACATATTCACCACCCGCCTTCCAGGCTCAAGGTCGCCAGGGGAAGAGAGGTCCAACCCCACGAGGGTCGAGCAAGCAGGGGAAAGGAGGGGTGACAGGTACACGGACTCTTCACCCACTCCTCAACAACTGACGAGAAGGCGACAGGGGCACCCTGCGACAGCAATACTCACTGCCGGACAACGGTCAGCGCGAAGCGCGTCATCTTCCTAGCGCCCGGAGGGAGGGAAGTGGCGGCCCCAGCCCGGCTAGCGTTCCCAGCACCCTCCGGCGCGAGGCTTCTCCGCACTGCGGGACACCTCGCCCACACCACTTCCGCCAAGCCCGGCCGGCCGGCCGGCTCCACCGCCATAGGCCGAGGCGGCCTTTTACGTCATTCCTGGAAGGCCAATCAGGGCGGCGAGAGACCGACAGGGTGGCGGAGACTGGTGAGCAACGAGGCCCCGCCCAGGGCTGTGGCGCTTGCGCCCCTGCGCGCAGGCCTACGATTGGCGCGTGGCAGGTGCGTGCGGGGCCCGCCCCACAGTCCGCAGTGGAGGCGGTTCTTGCCGGGGCAAGTTTGGATCCTGGAGACTCGGGAGAGAGGAAGGAGCCAGCGCACGGATGTGGAGTTGATTTCATTTGAAGCTGGAATGCGGCTAGTACTCTTCCTTCCGAAGTGTACAGCGCCAGACACATTGGGTTGTACGGAGTTTTACTGTTTTTTTTAAATATTTTTTAAAAAATTTTATTTCTAGGAGAGAGAGAGAGACAGCGTGAGCAGGGGAGGGTCAGAGAGAGAGGGAGTCACAGACTGAAACAGGCTCCAGGCTCTGAGCTGGCAGTCAGCACAGAGCCCGACGCGGGGCTCGAACCCACGAACCGCGAGATCATGACCTAAGTAAAGTCGGACGTTCAACCGACTAAGCCACCCAGGCGCCCCTATGGAGTTTTACTGTTAACCTGTAACAGTGGGGCTGTAGGGTCAGCAAGGTCTGCGGACTTAGACCCACCTAGTTTCTCTCCCCGCCTGCGCCTCCACAGACGCACTCCTGCAGCAAACTTCAGATTTTTTTTTTTGAGCGCTTTTCTAGACTAGGCCTCATACTTGGCCTGCTGAGCCCGGTTTTACCAAAGGCTCCTGCGAAGCTGGTTTACCTCACCTTTAGTATCTACTCAAGCTCCTCTTCCTCCCACCTTGGTATTTAATGGAGATCCTCCTCCCCCTCAACCTTGATATCTAACCAGCTTCCTCTTAATAAGTTTCCATTCCCTCCCTCTCCAGGACCCTTGGCAATAAACCCTTATTGGTCCCTGTTGTACGTCGAGCTGAATTCAGGCTCTCTGCCACATTGCAATAGTCTTGACCCAAGTTAAAATGGTCTTAAGTTTACCCCATCCTTTTTTTTTTCTTTAATTTTTAAAATGTTTTATTTATTTTTGAGAGAGAGTACCAGCAGGGGAGGGGCAGCGAGCGAGCGAGAGAGAGACAGAATCCATGAAGCAGGCTCCATCCAGGCTCTGAGCTGTCAGCACAGAGCCCCACATGGGGCTCAAACCCACGAAATGTGAGATCATGACCTGAGCTGAAGTCGGGCACTTAAGCAACTGAGCCACCCAGATGCCCCTCCCTTGTTATTTTTTAAGAGCATCTGATGAATAATGTTTCTTTTACAGCTTTCGGGGTCTTGAAAGAGTTACTTAACCTCTCTCTCAGTTCCATGATAAATAAAGTGGGATAACAGGTAAAGCTTACTCATATGAGCTATACAATGACCAAGCGTAATGATGTTAACTTTTTACATTGTTTTCCATGCATTGTTACTTCTCATATATGATAATGCATTTCTCCCCAGTTATATATGAGAAGGTGAGTTTAGAGAACTTAAGTGATGCATGGGATTTATAGGCACACATTTCAAAAGTTTCACTTGTGTGATCACATTTGGCCCTCAGAAAAACTCTGAGGTAGACAAAGGTATCTTCACTTCAGATACAAGGAATCTGGCCTAGAGAGAAACTAAGCAATTATTCTAGGCTTACAGTTGGTCAGTGGTGACACAGGACTGGTTCAGATTCTCAAACCTACCTGCACATTGGAATCATCTAGCACCTTTTGAATGCCACACCCCAGAAAATTGAATCTGAACTTCTGCAGGAAGGATCCAGGCATCAGTAATTTTTTTCTTTTAATCCCCAGATGTTTCCACTGTCCAGCTAGCTTTGAAAACTAGAACTTTAAGGCAGTGCTTCTCAAACTTGAATGGGCATAAAAATCACCTGGGGATCTTCTTAAAATGAAGATTCTGATTTAGGAAATTGGAAATGGGGGCCAAATTCAGCATCCCTAACAAGCTCCCAGGGAAACAGGCATTTTTAGAATGAGAGGGGAGGGATAATTCAGAGAGTTCTAAAAGGGAGCCCAAATTATCATGGGGGTACACTGCCTACTCATAGTAGATAGTTCATATAAATGTTCTGAATCCCTGAATGAATGAAGTGGTCCAACAGATTCTCCTGGAAGTTTGAACTATAAAAAGGAAATTAATTAGGTAGTTATATGTGAGGGCTAAAGAGAAAGAAAGAATGAAGAGATACCATAAGATCAAGCTATGAGGGAGTATGTAGACTGAAGCTATGAAGAAACAGAAACCACAAATAATACAAGCTTGAGAACAGATTTACAGAGTAGGAGTAAGAACAAGCAAAGGTAATGGAAGAAAACTAAACACATAGACAGAAGTAGACACAAGTGTGTAATGCAGAGACTACCTGGTCCCTAGCCACACAGGTTGCCATAGTACCAGATACTTTGAAGGTTCTATTTTTACAATAAAACCTCTTTCTCTTTAAGGTAGTCTAAGTACATTTCTAAAGCTTGACTAAAAACAGCTTTCCACTTTATTTCATTTAACATTCTCAATAACTCTGCAAGGTATGAATTATTATTTTTATTTTATAGGTGAAGAAATTAAGGAACATAGAGGCTAACTAACTTCCCATCCATCAGGATCTCAAAACTGAGTTTGACCCCAGGTAAGTATGCTCCAGGTGGTATCAAAACTATACATCTGAAGGTAAGTACTGACTGTGTTTCTTTATCTCCCTGGCTCCTATCAAAATATTTAAAACACTATAGGGACTGAATTAAAATTTGCTAAATGAATGAATGATGTTTGTTATGATCAATTTATCAAACGAATCATACATCTAAAAAATTAGCTGATACGATGGAAGAGTAATAATTTAGGAGAAAGAAAATTATAAAGCACCAATATTAACCTAAAGAATTTTCCAAGAAATGTGCATAAAAAGAATGTTTCATAAACTAAGAATCAGAAAAAGAAAACAGTTGAGAGGTGAGGATCTTAGAAAGAATGGACATAATCTTGCATTATTCACTCAACAGTTCTGGAATTGCTCCTCAGCTTCTCAAATGAACAGGGAGCTTGTTTGAACTTTGTTTAGCTAGAAGTTTGAAATAACCTATCAAATTGCAGATGCCCTTTTTTTCAAATGAAAAATAGTGCTTTGTTATAGTATGGCATATGACAGAATTCTGAATTAGGATGTGCCAAGGTACACTGAGGTAACAAATTAACCCTGAGGTTTGCCATGGCTTAACACATAATAGTTTCTCTGTCATGTAACATGTCTAACATGGATCAGAAAGGGGCTTTGTTCTACATAGTCACTCAGGGATTATGGCTGACAGACATCAGTTTCAACACATAGATTCATGATTCCTGGGGTAGGAAAGGAGAACAAATGAAGGTCTTGAACCAGTCGAGATGTTTCCTCCATGCGTTGTCCAGAGCTATGGCCCTATTTAACTGCAAATGTGATGGGAAATGTGGGGAACACATAAATGCCTGCAAGCAGACAGTGCCATGAATACTGTGCATGTTGGCATATCCCAGGATTCTTCCCTTAGCTCTTTTTTCCTTAACTATGCAGTCTCCTAGGTGATCCTATCCAGTGTATAGATGTTATTTATATTTCAAGCCTACAAGTTCCCCCTGTCTCTACCTACATTTGTCCAGTTACCCACCCAGGATCTTCACTTGGATCTCCAACGGGCCTCTTGGGCTAACTTTGTCCACATAGCATCTTTAAGGTTTGTCTTCTAAGACTGCTCACTCCTCCTCAAGTTTTTCTTATCTCATGGAAACAACCAGTTGCCCATGTAATCCGTGATTCTTCACCTTAACCTAACATTTCCCATCAAATTCACCACAAATTCCTGTAGGCTCTGTAATGCAGGGAGTGCTGGACTTTTAGTCATGTTTTCAAATAAAGATTTAATTATAGTCTTCACTAAAGATGTGCCAAGTGTGAAAAGGCTTCATCTACTCAGAATGCAGGATCGGGGAGGAAAGAGAGCATGGGTTGGCATCAGTTCCCTGGGCACTTAAATACTTTCAACAATAGCATTAAGGGTGAAATTAATTATATTGGTACCCATTGCTGGCCTGTTGGTTAATAGGAGTCAGTGAAATTTCTATTCTTCTTGTTTATAAGTTTTTTGTCTTATTCTGAGAAGACTAAAAGTTATAGACTTAGATCTACAGTATTTCCAAGATCTTTTAAGATCTATGTCTTTGAAATTTGTGAAGACCCATTTTGTCAACTAGTCCATGGTCATTTTGTACAAATGTCCCATGTGTGCTCGGGAAAAATGTGGGTTCACTCATTATTGGATGCAAAGTTCTTTGCATGTCTAATTGAGTTTATTGTGTTGTTCACATCTTCATAAGTCAATACATAAAACTTAAAAAAAATTTTTTTTCTGTGGGCTTTATCACCAAGTTATGTGTTGAGTCCATCACTCTTCCCTCTTCAGCACAATTTAGGAACTTACGACATCCTGTGCTGAGCTTCGTCGTCTCTTGTCTGGATGACTGTGAGAGCCTGTTAACAAAGCTCTGCTGCCTGTGCTCCTGTACACCATACACCATCTCCTCCTCAGCTGCCAAAGTGATGTCTTTATAATCACATCGTGCCAGCCCCTTGCTGGAAAGTTCTCTAATGGAGTCATTGCCACTAGAATAAAGTCCCACCTCCTTACCCAACTCCCACAAGGCCAAAGTGACTTGGGCCCCTCTAGATCTCTAGACTCATTTCCCTGTTCACTCCCCCTCCTCACCGAGCCCCAGATATAATGCTTCTCTCTGTTCCTAGACCATGACGTGCTCACTCCTGTCTCAGGGTCTTTGCATTTTGTGTTCCTTCTGCTTACAAAGATCCTTCCCAAGGCATTTGAATGATTCCTTCTCAGCTTTCCAATCCTAACTCAAGTCACCTTATCAAGAGGGCTTCCCTCAAGCAAAGTAGCCTGCCTGTCACCATCTATCATCCTATTTTATCTGAAACTATTTCACTTATTTATTGTTTTTACAGGTTTATCGCCTGTCTCTGCTAAAACATAAATTCCTTGAGGCTCGGGACTATTGTGTTCTTTTTCATGTCTTCAGTGCCTAGAACAATGCCAGACACAGTTTAGGAACTCAGTCAATATTTGCCTGAATCATTGGAAATCATGTTCGTAAAAAATATCTAATAATATGGTAACATTCCCAATAGATGAATAGATGGGAGAAAACAAAGGGTAGGAAAGAAAACTATTCACTGTGAGCCTGATTTTATAAGAAAAAATACAGGCATTTAAAAAAAGACAAGAAAAAACATGTTATTCCTGTCAAAGGTTTCTCTAGGCAATATTTATAATGTTAAAAATGCTTGTGCTGTTTTATAACTAAAGGATTTTTTTTCCGTAAATAAACGTGAGAAGTCTTTCACAAAGAAAATTATTCAGAGGGTGGATGAAAGAGAATGTGTATATTGTTCTCATTATGTAGCCACTCACATGCTAAGGCAAGCCAACTTGTTATTATTACCATTTAATAGAGTAGAGCTGAATATTCAAAAAGAAATCTGAGTTGATGAGTATGTGCATTCTTGGTATTCATTCTGTTTACTTTTACAGACTTTGGCTCTGATTATGTCACTTTATGATTCTAAGATAAAGTTCTTTAAGACCAGAATAGAGAGAGACCAGAAAAATTTTAAGACTAAAAATGGACAAAACTGACACCAGATATCAGTAAAAACGGAGAGGCTCCGGGACCAACTGAGAATTGTGGTTTTGCAATTACCCAAGTTATTTCTAACAACACTACTTCGCTTTGTCCCACTATTGCTTTCAAGTTGGAAATTATGGTGGTTTATGCAAATTTAATAAAAGAGAAAGTCTTGGACTTTTACTGGCAGGGATTTCATTGCACCACCCACTGTCATAATTGATTACATGCTGTACCCTGATGGAAAAACAGAATTTCTAGGCCAACACAAAATCACAAATACATGGTAAACCATCTGCTTTGTCCAGCGACTGAGAAATAATAATGGGACCGATGATCCGAGTGAGAAGGGGCTGCCAGTCCAACTGTGCCCAGTCCTCCATCAGCTTGATGTCTGAAGGTGGAGGGAGATTTGTTTTGGCAGCCACTCTGCCAGCATCTGACATCTGTCACGCATAGTTCTCCATTATCGGTCGTTCCAAAAAAATCATATCTGTCAGTCAAATAGCTTTTCTACTGATGGACAGTCGAAGGATGCCTTCTCAGCCTGACGTGCTTGTGGGGAACTCCCCTTTATTTGAATACATGTATCCACTAATCCCTTTTCATGCCTTGCCTTTGAGCTTGTCACTTAGTGGGGAAAAGAACCCTCTCCACGCCCAAGTTCATTGCTGGTTGGAAGAATAACAGCAGCACGAAGTGGATACAGTGAAGGTTATAAATGCTTACCGTTTCGCTGCTATGGTATCAAGAGTAGTCTTCTCCACCAGGATCCACAGAAAAACAACATTCCCCCCTCCAATGCTGGCCTTTTGGGAAATTAACATTTGCATATATAACACCTTTAAAAACAATTCACACAGTATTGATGTGTTTGCATGTATCGGACTGGCCCATTCTTGTTCTTCCTGTGTAGTACACTTTACACAGACTGCCTCACTTAATCCTCTTAATCCAGCAGGGTCTCCTGTTTTATAAAGGAACAAGCAGTCTCAGAGCTCATACAGTGGTAGCCCTGGGATTCAAAGGCAGATCTTCCTGCTTAAGTGAGACTCTTTCCACTACAGCACCCTGACTCTCCCCGCCACAATACATCTGACAGTCATATGAAACATACAAATGTATGGTACAGTCAGTAACACTCCAGGCAGATAGGAAGTACCAGGGAGGTGGCAAGTGGTAAGACCAAGGCTCTTGCTTTTGCCACAGCCTGGACAGAATGCTAAGAAAAAGAGAAGACTTAGGACCCTAAAATCCTGATCTCCTGGCCCTAGTATCTGGAAAGATGTAGTATATGAAGTAAGTAAGGCAGGAGAAAATGCCATGTGAAAGCAAATTTTCCATAGTGTCTTCATTTTGATTTTACAGAGATGTGTGGAAAATGTAAGTTATGGTTGTTTTCTCTTTTCTTCCTTTTTAATAATCTCTGTGCCCAACATGGGGCTCAAACTCATGACCCCAAGATCGAGTCACATGCTCTTCCAACTGAACAAGCCAGGTGCTCCTGAATGATTGTTTACAGAATATCTCAGGCATTAAGACCTTCCAGGAAAGTATTAACCAAGATGCCCAGAGGATCATTGAACTGAGCCATGGATGGAAAGCTGCAGAAGCCCCAAATTCTTGGACCACTTCAATGCCTCCCCTGCTGGGTGACCCTAACCTAAGAGTGTCATGGACCCTTGCAGGGCCCCCAGCTCCTACATACCTGGTAGGATGATATTTTTTGAAACCGTACTCAGTGTTTTTCCTCCAGTATTTGTCCCCTGCGTTTTTTGGTACTTTATCCTGTGTCCCCTTTTTCAGGGAAGGGAAAGTGACAATGAAGAACCTAGGCAAAGAATCTCTCCCCTATAGGATAATGAAAGTAATCTTGACATAAATAAGGGTTTAAGCAAAGGTGATGAGAAGCCTCCCTGCCCTGAATGAGAAAGATTCTCCATATTGGTAGGTCCCTGAGATATAGGGACAAACTAGCTATGTGATTTTTTAAATTATTATTTTTTTTTAAATGTTTATTTATTTCTAGGAGACAGAGAGAGAGACAGCGTGAGCAGGGGAGGGTCAGAGAGAGAGGGAGTCACAGACTGAAACAGGCTCCAGGCTCTGAGCTGGCAGTCAGCACAGAGCCCGACGTGGGGCTCGAACCCACGAACCGCGAGATCATGACCCAAGCGAAAGTCGGACGCTTAACCAAGCCACCCAGGCACCCCTAAATTATTTTTAATTCTTTAATTTTTATTTATTTTTAAGAGAGCAAATTGGGAAGGGGGGGTGGGGCAGAAATGGGCTCTGCAATGATAGCAGCCAGCCCAAAGCAGGGCTTGAACTCACAAGCCGTGAGATCATGACCTGAGCCAAAGTCAGAGGCTTAGCCGACTGAGCCACCCAGACACCCCGTGGTGATGTGATTTTGCAAATGACATAAGTTTTGGGGCTTGAGAGGACAGGATCCCATGCTCCTTTCCCAGGAGGAGCTTCCCTGGTCTGGGGAGGAGACCCCCAGAGAAGTGGTGGCTGTGCAGTGCTCTGGACAGAGTCTCCAATAATCTTTTGGTTCTAAGCCCCAGCATCATGTGGGAACAGCAGAGTATGTCTTTTACATCCAAGAGCAGCAAAAAAGTCACCAAGAAAGGCCCAGTTGCAATGTTAGCAATCGTCTTGAAACATTACAGAATATGTGGCCTGTGTGGGTGATTCAGGTAAGCTATGACCCAGATGCCACGAGCATTCTGTCTTGGTTGGCTCCAGCTGCTGTAACAGAACACCGCTGATGTGGTGGCTTAAACAGCAGATGTTTATCTCTCACCATTCTGGAGGCTGGACGTCCTGGGCTGGGTGCTGGCATAGTCAGGTTATGGTGAGAGCCCTCTTCTGGGCAACAGACTGCCCACCTCTCTTTGTATCTGCACGAGGTAGAGAGAGAGCTAGCTAGCCCTGTGGCTTCTTCTTACAAGGGCCCTAATCCCATCCGTGACCCAATCACCTCCCAAAGGCCCCACCTGCAATACCATTACACTGGGGATTAAGAGTCAACATATGAATTTGGGGGTGGGGAGGACACAAACATTCAGTTCATAACACATCCTAATCACGGATGTACAATCCAGGGATGGTCCACAGGTATCCTTTTTTGTTTGTTTGTTTAATGTTCATTTATTTATTTTGGAGAGAGAGAGAGCAGGGCACGGGCAGACAAAGAGGGAGACAGAATCCCAAGCAGTCTCTGCACTCAGTACCAGAGCCCCATGTGTGGCTCGAACCCACAGACCATGAGATCATGACCTGAGCCAAAATCAAGAGTCAGACACTTAACTGAGCCACCAAGGTGCCCCTGGTTCACAGGTATCCTAATCAGGAGAGCCATAGTCCACAAGAACTTCAGTTATCTGAATCTTGACTGATAATGGATATGTTAATTAGTATCCTGAATTTCAGAAACAAGGTTGTACGGGTGAAAATAGCAGCCTGACAACTATAACAGTGCAAGTTACGGGCCTCACTGAAATCCAAATAGGTATATTCGCCTCCTGAAGACATCTCAGAGACACTCCTCACCTCTGAATAGACTAGGGATCTAGAGAGACTGACCTGAACCCTCATATGTTAAACAGCCTTCTGTTAGGATCGGGAGGCCTTCTAGTTCCTTTTGTTGATTCTAAAGGTAAGATAAACCTACCTTTGGAACATTTACCTAGAAGAATGAAACCTTCGTGCAAGGTAGTGGTAGAGACAGAGCCCTGTGCTGTTACAGCACTGGGGGACAGAAGGCATGAAGCATTTAGGCCTCTGTGTGTCTGCTAATTGTATGGATGTGCTGCAAAATTTAGTCCAAGGTTTGCTTTCATTGTAAGCGTATAACAAGGTGGCAAGGGAGTGGCCAATGCTCACACACTTAAAAATGTTTAATGGCTACAAATATCAACCAAGACTTTGAGAATTCACTTACCTCTGTATGCAAAATCATTGATCCCGAAGGGGCTCTGCAGGCTTCAACTGGAGGCCTCAGGATCAACTTCCACCCTGCCCCTCCACCGCACCCTGAGTGCTGGGGCTAGGCAAACCCAAACGAGAATGCAAACGTGGGAAGAGAGAGAGCACACTGAGAGTGGTGTGAGAGGCAGAGTCTTCCGGTCAAAACTAGTTTTAGGGAAAAACAGTCGCACTCCTGCTCCTGTGAGCTCCTCATTGGGGTTGACAATTGCAATGGCTGCACCTTTATAAACCGCGTGTACTGAGAGGAACCTGAACAGAATCACTGTGAAGAATAACCAAGAAGCAAGCCAAAATGCTGGGAAAGAAAATGCTACTTCCAGGGTATAAATCTACCAAAAATTTCTCCTCCGTAGACTGTCAGGCCCCTTTCTTCTTGGACCTTGTCTTCATTGAAGGTGACATTCCATCTGGTGATTTCAACAAGTGATATCATCCAACACCCCACCTCAGCCGAAAGCCTCACTCTCTCAGTTCAATCCTCAGTAAGCAAAATACAAATAAGTCAAGCAGCCCAGCGTGGCAGGAGAATGTGATATCTAAGTGAGCCACATCTGGGTTCTGGTCCTACTCTGATTCCTCACTGTGAGCTGTATGACCCCGAAGTCACTTAGCTACAATATGAAGTTTCAAATGCATACGTGTTATGAGGATTACACAGGATGCTGGTGAAAAGCTCTTAAAATCTCATGAGAAGCACTTAGATGCCAGTTACCTAAAAAGTCTCCCACATCTCGGTGCTTATGCTGTCTGTGTTGAGTAGCTAAACAATTGGTACCTGTCTGAAATTAAGTTTTCAAAAGACCAAATGAGGTGCCTGTCTCACGTGCCACTTTAACCTGAGGACTACTACCGTGCCTCAGGCTCTGGCTGTGCGCCAGGCATGTGGAAGTGCTCCAATGAGGTAACTCAGGAGGTACTGTTATTATTTCATCCCGTTTCACAGATGAGGGAACAGACTCATTGAGGGGATTAGTGTTGTGCCCAAGGCTACAAAGCTAGTGGGTGACCGATGGGGATTCCAGAGCAGGCAGCCCGCTAGAGCCCCATGTTCTTTGCCACGACGCTCAAGTAGCAGCCATTGTATGACTTATCTGTTTCTGCCATTAGGGCAGGGGCGTCGTTCCTGAAAAGCAGGTGCTGAAGAAACATCTGTTGAATGAAGTGTTTGGTGCAAAATACCTGGTATCTGACCAGCCCCACGCAGTCTCTTGTAGGAATGAGCAGTGTCCAGGAGCCCCACATGTGGAAGGAGGGGATAAAAAGTCATCATTTTAATGGACGGGATCACTGAAACAGCCATGGTATTTGTGTTTCCTTTTTTAAAAAAAAATTAATTTATTCGAGTAAATTTATTTATGCCCCACACCCAACATGGGGCTCAAACTCACAACTCCAAGATCAAGAGTCACATGCTCCTCTGATTGAGCCCCTGTCCTTTTTCAACAAATCTAAAAATCTTACAGGTGCATCTTCTCATAGGGTCACTGAGGTACCACTGCAATGAAAACAGACTACAAAAACAGAGAAAAAGCTTATCTTGAACCCTGTCCACCTGGCCCACCTGTAGCGCTTAGTGTGGACTGAGCACAGGGGTCTCAAAGGAATTTCAAAATCTGGCCCAGCCCCTGGTTATCTGAGAAGTAAAAATCCATAAAGAGAGAAAGGCGATTATGAAGGCTCATGAGGCATAGAGGTCTTTGGTGCAGAAAAGTGGACAAAGGATCCCAGGCCTGTTCCACCTGGGACTTACTGGGTCCTGCATCATAGCAGTGAGGTAAGACAGACACATTTTAGGCCGCGGAGCCACAAATGCAGTAGGGAACAAGCAGGTGACATCAATGAGTGTATCAGGCTCAGTGGGTCCTGGGGGACAGAAAAGGGGTTATACCATCATCAGCTGCAGCCCTTATTGTCCCTCAGGCCTGTGGTTGCCAGGAAGCGGATTTACCAAGAGCAGTTAAAATCCCAACTTTTATATGAAAGCTCTCATCTTGCATTGTCAAGCAAGTCCAAGGCAATTTAAATCATGGTGAGAGTCAAGCTAAATATGTCTGCAGGCTGCCAGTTTGCCCATCACTGAAAAGAGTCAGAAGTCATGAATCACACCAGCCCCTGCCAGATGGAGTCAGAAAGTAGTATTAGTAACTGAGGGAGAAGCAGGTGAGGGAATTGCTGATTCCTCTGGTGGCCAGACAGAGGGGTTCCTTCTGGGTAGTCATCCCACACCTGTCCACACAAGTGTCTTTTTCTAAGTTGTTCCTGTCTGTGGTATTAGTGCCACCTAGTGGATTTCCCAGGAAGCACTGCGTGTTTAGATCTGTATGTTGATTCCTACAAGGCCAGAGAGTAGTCAGGGATGGGGGTGACCAGTTAAAGCCAGAGGCAAAGCAAATCACCGCAAGCGAAATGGAAGCCATGTTTTGGATAAGCAGAAATGCAAGGCTCCAGTGGGATACTGAAGTGGGGTCAGAGGGGCCAGCGGAATTTTGTCTTGCTGTTTTTTCAGGCCACCCAGCTCTGCTGGACTGAGCCTAGGGTCAGAGCTGATAGACTCTGCCCCTTCTTTGTGTTGGGGGGTCCCCCAGAGCCCAGAGTGTGAAACCCTCCAGTCCGTCATCCTCAGAGTGCCAGCCTTAGTTCTTTAAGCCTGGGAGAAAATGGGTGGGTAGGACTCCCAAATCAGTATCTGTCACCGAGTTCATCCTGTTTCGTGAGGATATCTGTGTTTATGGCGTTTCAAATTCATTATATGTGTTAAGCTTTTTGAATATTTTCCCTTCATTTTTTGATGTGCATTACCCATTCACTTCCCATCCCTTTATTTTTTGGAAAAGGTCCAAAAGGTCCAACTGTCGTTTCTACTGTTTCCAGACTATGCTGCATCTTACCAAAAGTGTTTTCATAAGACTCATTTGTTTGAGGAAACCTGTCCCATCCCAGAAAGTGTCCCTTCCCACACTGGGGCATCAATTCACACCACAGGCCTTGGCCTTTGCTGTTAGAGCTCCATGCAATCTTATTGGCTGTGTATCTTGTTTCCTCCTTAACTGCAAGGCATGGGTTTTTTTCCTGCTTTTCCTTGAAGGTTCAGCGTAGGTCCTGCACATACGTGTTGGCTACTGATAGGCTGGACCTTCACGTTCACCATCCCTAGTGCTTTTGCCATCATTATTGCTGTAAGAGCAAGGGAGAAATAGTCTGGTGCAATATTCAGGGCTTTTTTTTTTTTTTTTATGTTTATTTTTGAGAGGGACAGAGACAGAGTGAGAGCAGGGGAGGGGCAGAGAGATGGAAACCAAGAATCCAAAGCAGGCTCCAGGCTCTGAGCTGTCAGCACAGAGCCCGACGCAGGGCTTGAACTCACAAACTGTAAGATCATGACCTGCGCCGAAGTCGGATGCTTAATCAACTGAGCCACCCAAGTGCCCCCATTCAGTTTTGAATATTCGCTTCATGACAGTGTGTTGAGAATATTCCTAAGCTAACTGGAACATTTTATTCTGATGTTAGTTATGTCCGTGTCCTGCATAAAAGTTCCAGATCTTTGGAGTGTCCTAAGAAATACAAAAGTAGTCACCAGAGCACAAAAGGCCTGGGATTTCTGGTTCTTCACTCCATCACGAACTTCCAATTTCAGAAAGGGCACTTCTGTTTTGGGTTAGACATTTTTCAAGCGGAGGATGAAATGGCTCTGGAAGAACCTGTAGAGGCGCCCTTGGATCTATCACTAGCCAGCTGTGTGGAATGTAGCGCCTGCCTTGTCTTCCTCCTTGCCACCCTCAGGCATCCACAGTTCTGAATGGGAGAAACCCTTGGTGTTACTGGAAGCCATTTGGAAGGAGTGGTGTTGTCCTGTAACAGACAGGCACCCACACTGCAGGGCAAACAGATGGGGGAGGGGTGGGAAGGAGGGACCTGGCTGTACAACAGGTCTTGCAGAGGAGAATTCCAAGGATGGTTAGGAGTGGCAACTGGGGTCCTTGGAAGCTCCCAAGAGGCCTTACAGACTCCACTACGCAGAAACCCAAGAAACAAGTTATCCCCGCTGGTCTCCAAGAACGGTGAATATCAGTGGAGGAATGGAGACAAAGGGAAATTTCTAGGGTCCTTGTAAGATTCGAAATCCTGTTAGGTGGAGTTAGTGCAGAATAACTGGCTGTATCTTAGTCTGGACTTTCCCAATGACCAGTTGCAACTCAGGTCAGAATTAAACTGGAAACAGCCTCCAGTCACTTTGAAAGAGTCAGGGATCTATAGAGTATGAGTGTTCATAGCAACATCAAAATGTCCACGAAGCCATCGCCTTTGGCATTACCCTCAGAAGCTGATCTGAGGAGCTGCAGTCCAGGAGCAGCTAGGACCAGAGCCTGGCAATTCAGAGTGCAGACGCTTTCACCCCCTTCCTAGGCTCTGCCTCACCACCCCTCCCTCCCCTACCCCAAGGGTAGCTATGGCCAGTCCTCCTGGGAGAGGGAATCAGGAATCAGTGGGGAGCCGCGAAGAGTAGCAGAATGGAGTCAAGAAAGCTACAGAGGTGGAGTTCTCCAGATAACCCCTAGAATCTGGAGACGGCACCCAGGGCCTCTGGCACTTCCTAAGGCAGGAGATGCTCACTCACATCAAGAGTGAATAGCTAGAAAAAATGAGGGATTAAGCCCAGTCGTGATAGCAGGGACTTGCCCGCCGTAGGAAAGGTAGGCTGAGGCTTCTAGTTTGTAAGATGGCTACACGGGGACCCCAAAAGGGAAAAAAAGGTCACCAATTCCTTGTATAGCGTTAACACAGACACATGTAGGTTTGTGTTTTATGCCACTACCAATTGTTGCCCCAGAGTTCTGACGTGAGAAAGCTATGTTCTATTCCAAGGACTGCTGGTCTATAAATAAGTCAAAGTGGCCAGACGATTTAGGTCAAGGTGAGTTTATTGTCCAAATAGCATAACCTAATTGCATCCAAAACCATTTGCAAATCCATCTTTAAGCTAGTCAAAATAACAGGCCATTATTTTTTAAAATCACTTAACACTGAACAGACAGGACCTCTTAAAAGGCAGCTGACTATACCATGTCACCATCATAACCAAGAAAACATTTTTTGCCACACTTTCTAAAAAACCTTTTGTTTATACTTATCATGCTACTTTAGCACTTGCTAGCATCCCGACCAAATAAGCACCCACACCTCTTATAGAGTACATTGTGAGAGAATAACATGGACTCGATATGGCATCACACTCATTTTAAAGCAAAAAAAAATTATAATAATAATAAAAGAAGTCCAAGACGAGAAACTGTAACTGAGAGAGAAAGAGATCTGAGGTACATGGTACAAGGGTAATGAACATAATGGAAAAAATCCAATGGCCCAGTGACTTGCTGGGGGATTTAAGAATCGGCCAATGGTAAGAACAAAACCCAATTAAAAGAAACAAACAAAACAAAACAAAAAATTTTTTTAAAGGACAGGCACCTGTCAAAATACATTGGACACTGTAATGGCTACAGTCAGTAAGGCACTTTTTTCCCCAAAGTAGGCTGCAGGCAGAGGAAGATGTACTGCAGCTACCGTGTGCACGGATACAGTTGCCGATGGCTTCTTGAAACCCGAGCCAAGAATCGGGTCTGATAGTCCAGCCAAGTTTAAAAGCAGAGACACACAAATATCTGGCTGAAAGGACTGTTCTGGGCTGTTTAGAATCCAGAATCGTGAAAAGCCACGTGGTACGAGAAAGTCATAAACACCCTCCTGAATCTTTCTGCCCTATTTTGTACAAATGGACGACAGCATGAGTGGCTCTTAAAAACTGCTCTGAGCCCACACCACTAGAAGCCTGCACTCATTCTATAGCTACAGTTTGTTGGCTTAAGGGGACTTTACCATCTCAGCACTAATTTCCCTTTTAAAGCTATACTCAGGGTTGGACTGTCTCAAAGATAAACAAAGAGGAATCCTTTTGGCTTAGAAGCCAACTGGCTTACTCAGACTTCCTCCCCATGCCTCCCTCCCATTCCCACGCTACCAATATTATCTTCTTGAACTAGCAAATCATTATTTACATGATATAAGGTGCAAGTCTATTTCTTCTCCCAGCCCTGCCCCCTGTGGCCCATGGAGAGAACATTCCCCCCGCCCTCTTTGAGAAAGTTATCCATTCCTGCCTAATGCTCTTTAACCTCATCCCCGAGCTCCTGGGGCAGTGTGGAAGGCCCCTAGGGTGCCAGACCGCAGGAAGGCTACAGCTCCCCCAGAGCCCATCCTGCTGGCGAAGGGACGGGTATGAGGGTTGCTTTACCTGACCCGCCTG